TCAAGCCAGCACCAGGTGAAGCAGAGATTTGCCAATACTCATTACAGAAATGTCCCCTACCAACAGAGGAGTAGGTGGCCATGGGTGGTTTCTCTGCCTGGCTTGCACCTTCCATTGCTCTTCTTCCCTGCAACCTGGCCTTATGGGTCATCTTCCACCCCTAAGTGATCACTGAGACCTAGGGACAAAGATGTTTGTCCTCGCATCCATGATGCGACGTGTGTGGCTGGAGACAGCAGGCATCTAGGGATGTGGGTACCACAGGAAAGCCTCTGTTCCCAGGACTGGTGTGGATACCCTGAGCTGTGGGTAGCAGACTAGCTGTGACCTGAGGCTGTGTCCTTGAGAGAATGCAAGGATTCATGGCCTATCCCACTGCCCCCCCATCTCCATCGCACCCCCTCTGCTTTCACTTCTGCTGCAGAAAGCAGCTGTAGCTATTCCTGCTTGGAGGTGTAAGACAAGGCTGTGCCAAGGGGCAGGGGAGGCTTTGCTAATTCACAGCTCCTTCGCACAGCTCACACTGGTTTCCTAATGCACTCCTAGCTGCTAGAAGAGGTGAGACTTGCTGATACAGCACAACGTCACATGCTGGAGGAAGCACGGAACAAGCTGAGACAGGTCCTTAAAAACTTACGGCTGTGTAAATGAAGCCCACCCTTTGATCAGGGAGAAAATATTAGCGATGAAATAAGGCCATCTGCAAGCCCCTGTCAATACTTCAGAGGCCAAGGCAATAGGCAGCTGGGAGCTGTGGCTCTGGCTGAAGGTTCTGCACCCTCCGTGCTTCACCTAGAAGTCCCAGAGGTGTGACACTGAGGCCCAAAGCCCGTGTGTTTGCCCAGATACCATAGGATTAAACTCTGCTGGGAGGTATAACCCTTGGACTCATTTCCTTCCTTCTGCTCCTCCCCTTTTGGAAAGGTAAAAACTGCACATCATTTATGATGCAGTGTGTGAAAATCAATCTGAAAATCACATCATCTAGGGCAGATTGCTCCATAAATTGACTGACTGGGTCCCAGGGGAGCACATATGGGAGGGATAGAGTGTCTAGGTTAGGCCTGGCTTTAGCAAACAACTGCACATCCTTAACCCTTTTCCCTATTCCTTCTCCCTTGCGCCCCAAGCAGCACTCCTACCTCTGATGAAGTCTGCTGGAGCAGCCTGCCAGGTCTGTCACATCCATGCCCTGGTCCCTGTGGCAGCTTGCTTGTACACTGGACCACTGAGGAGACACCAGTGCTCAGCCCTGCATCAGCTTCGAGCTGAGTGTTTTGGGTGATTCTGGCTGCAGCTCACCTCTCATGGGTTTCCAACCACTGACCCAGACCTCCCAGCACCCAACTGCCCATTGCCAGGGACACCTGGAGAGCCCTGCTTTGGTGAGAGAAAGATACCAGCTGGGGAAGGGGAGCAATTAGTGCTTTCTGCATTCATTTAAAAGGCAGAATTGTGTTGATTTGTTGGTTGGGGTTTTTTTTAATATATATTTTTATTTTATTATCAACACAATAGCAAAGAAATAGCAAAGGCAAATGAACAGTGGGCTTTTTCCCACTCTGTGGCATTTAACCAAGAGATGGGGTGGTGGGTATCAAGACAAGTCAAGCCCACTGGTGAGGCAGGGGTGAGACCAGCTATGCCCATCCCTTGCTCTCTGCTGCCCACAAAGCCAAAAGTGACACAATGCAGCTCCCAAAAATCTCCTGGGAGACTGTGTTTCCCAGCTTGCCCTTCTGTGCACTAGAAGGGGGCAGTTTCCAGGGTAGTCCATGGTGTTTCACCTGCTTGCACGGGGTCTGGCAAAAACAGCCACTGCAGGTGTGCAGCACTACAGCACCGAGTGAGGAAGATCAGTGTCAAGAAACATAAATAAATGAGAAGAATAAAAAGTAAGGTTGCTGAGCCAGGCCAGGCTGTCCAAGCCCTTCAGGGAGGACAACCCTCATGAGCACGTCCCACTTCCCTGGGGAGCCATGCTGGTGCTGGAAAGAAGCTTCAGTTGCATGTGCTTGCTCGTGGATGGGGGATGCTCATCCGTGGGGGGATGACTGCCTGGGGAACTATCGATGCTGACAGCCCATGAGCCAACAACGCCACGTGGCTCCCAGCATGAGTAAGCACCAGCCCCACTTCAGAGCCCCCACACATCCTTGGCACCGGGAGAGCGCACTTCTGAGTATTGCTGGGGGAATGAAAGGGAAGGGGGGATGAAAGCCACCCTCAGCATCTCCTCTCTGAGCTATCAGCTGTCTTCTCAGAGGGAGCAACCCCCTGCCTGCCAGCTCAGCCTTGTGCATACAGATTTTCATCCCTTTGTTGGGTCTGGAAAAAGGAAGAAAAAATGTTCCGTTCTTTCCAGTTTCCCAGTCTCACCCTCTTGTCCCTTCCACCACCAGGGGCTTGGGTTTGACTCCAACATAGAATCATAGAATAATAGCAAGGTTTGGGTTGGAAGGGACCTTAAAGATCAGAGTTCCACCTCCTCTGCTACAGGCAGGGATACCTTCCACTTTGAGGTTGCTCAAAGCCTTGAATACTGCCAGGGATGGGGCAGCCACAGCTTCTCTGGGCAACCTGTTGCAGCCTACACCACACTCACAATAAAGAACTTTTTCCTAATGTCTAACTTAAATTTCCATGCTGTTAGTTTAAAGCCATTCCCCTTTGACTTTTCAACCCCCCTAGGGTTGCACAATTGCTGGCATCCTGCCTTAAAAGGAATCTGGGGAGTCCTTACTGAAGAGCCAGTGCTCACAAAGTTGCGGATACACCGTGTGCCTTCACTTGGCTTCACAGAGGGCAGTAGGAGGAAAGCAGAGCAGAGACAGAGAGAAAAAGTCTGATGAGGCCTGTTCCTGGGAAGGGTCTCTTTCCAGGAAGAAGATCCAAGTAACAGGGTGATGATTTGCAGCAGTCCAAGGAAAAAGAACTGTTCCTATCCCCCAGGTACCTGGATGCAAGACAAAATGAGCACAACACTTGCTGTGATGCCAGTAACTGCAGGCAGGGACTGCTTCTATGACCCTGGAGCCTGCAAGATTTCTGGGTAGCTCCACTGGGATCTGGGGCTGAAAGGGTCCTGGAGCATCCATGGGCAAGGTGAGGGGAGCACACACAGGACAAGTTTTGGTGCTTTTGGTGGCCCCATCCCCTACAGTGTCCCAAGCCTTGCGAGCACTTCTGCCAGCCACACACCAGCATCATCTGTTCCAGGGGTAATTTTGTTCCCAATTTATCCCCTGTCTCCTGGAGCTATTATAAGCAGGTACATCTGCATTGCCATTGTTATTCAGATGATGTACAGATAATTTTAACCTTTCTGTTCCATTTGTCAAGGGGCTTTTTTTAGCCAACACGCCTGCCAGGCAGAGTGCTGGCTCTCCGACAACGAAGGCTCCCTGTTTAGCAGCACCAGTTTCCCTTGCTATGATGAAGCTCTGCCTTATCTGCATTGCACTGGGTATAGTCAGCATGGCCCCAGATACATGTGGGATTTGGGGAAAGGTGGCAGAGGAGGTTAAGCATTCAGCTTGCCACATCCATTGCTCATCCTGGCACCAGCCTCCCAGGCAGAGCTCCGTGGCATGTCCATTAGAGACTTGCCACACTCGGTCCCAGTTTCAAAGCCTTTGGGGCAGTTCATACTTAAGACACTTCAAAAAATGTTAATACAGGTCTTCTGGCCCTCACAGGAGGGGAAAGTCTTCTCCTTAAACTGCTTCCAGAGGCGGTGCAGAGCCCTCAGTGATGAAGAAGGCATCACCTTCTTCAGGTGGCTTTCCCCACAGCCAGGGATGCACATCACTTATTCAGCTATAAAATGGGAACGTGCTTCCCAGGCTGAAAAAATGCTGGGCTTTGCCTCCAGCCCCTGGTTGTCACTATATCCGTTGCCTGGCCAAGTGCCCTCAAAGGTGGGCCATCTCCTGGGTAACGTTCTTATGGAACTGTACCCTTCCCACCAAAAACATGCTTTCTAGCACTTTGTGAGCCAAAGAGTTGAAAACCACACCTGACAGCATCTGGGAAATAAAGGAAAAGATCACAAAGTGAAGAACAACGAAAAGCCAGTTCCTATAGGTCGTAACATTTGGGTTTGCTCCTTGGTGGCACCATGCAGAGAGAGGCAGCAGCACATGGGAGACACGCAGCATAAGCTTAGCTCAAAGTGGTTCAGATGAGCAGAGCAATTGTCTTCATCCTTCCCTGAGCTCTTCCTGGCACAGCACCCTCCCACCACCGGGAAAGAAGAGTGCTGTTGAAAAGCTATAAAATATCCCTGTCACCCATGCTCAGCCTGCAGACTGCCACAGGCTGCTGACTCGCCTCTGACTGCTGGAGAACTTTCTGTACTTTAAACAGCTCTGCAAAAAAAGAAATATAAGGCCTGACTTCAGCATCTTTGCTTGACAACTCACCAGTGAGCTTTGGACCAGGGAACAGAATCTGAATCCACTTGACATCTTCCAGGTGCAGGTGTGGAGGGTATCCAAGCTGATTGAATCCCTCAAAGACCCAGATCCCACAGGTTTTCCAAGCCCTGAGTTTACATGCTGGTGCTCCCTTGCATTTCTCCAGCAATACAATGTCACCACAGTGCTCTTAGCTTCACCGTGCCAGTTTGCTGTGGTGCTGCTGTTAACAACTCCTCAGGCTCCTTGCCCCAGTTCCCTTGGTCCCCCCAGACGGCACGTCTGGAAGCAGCCAGGCATGAGCCACAGCTTCCCCAGGGAGACAACCCTTCCCAAACTTGCTCCCTACCTCTCCTACAGCCCCCTACCCTGCTTGGGGACCATAGGGATGCCAGGGCAGCACTGGTAAGGGACAGTCCTCATGCTCATGCTGGGGAACACCCCATCCCATGTGATGGGGCTCAACAGCACAAGCTGTGTGCCATCTCCTCCCTGCCATGCAGGCCTTTGGCAAGAGTCCAGCATCTCACCAGTGGTCCCCACCAGTGTAGGGCAGTGACAACAAGGTGGAGTCTGCAGCAGTTCTTTACAACAAGGTTTTATTTTTCTTTCATTTTGACAAAAAACATCGAAGTTGTACACCGCCATCAGTCAGTTCGGTTCCCTGTTTGGGTCCGAACCAGCATGTTATGTTACAACACCTACCCCGGTGCCTTGGGTATGAAGGCAGAGAATTTCCTTCCCACCCACCCTCCCTTGGCCACAGGAGCCACCAGTCCCACATGTGGGAGGCTCTGTCCTTTGAGGCCTCACAGGACAGGAGGATGGTGCTGGGACAGCCAGCCTGGAGGGGACAGCAAGGTTCCATGCTCCAATGCTGCCTTACCTCTCTGCACACCTTCTGCTGCCCTCCCAGGAGCTTTGCAGGGCTTTGATCCCAGCACCAAACTGGTAACTAGTTGCATGCAACTGGTGAATTCCTGCCTGGGCAGCAGCTTGTCCTGTGCAAGCAGATGCTGAAACATGTCCCCCTCCCTCTCTCATCCTCCCTCCCGTGGTCAAACAGCCAATAGCCACCGTCAGTGACTGAAGTGGCAGATCCCTGATGTCCAGGAGGTGAGAGAGATGTGCAAAAAGCCACAGACAAGAGATCGTACAGCAGCAAAGTGAGTCCAGCGTCTTGCTGCAATGGGGCCTCAGGTCTGTTTTCCTTCCCCCTTAGTGTAGTCTTTTCCATAGTTCTCCTGGGGGTTGTTTTTGGTTTCAGAGACATGCTTTGGAGGTGCCACCTTGTCCCCTGGGTCCTTGCCTCCAGTCCTGCTGCTGGAGTAGGACTGCCAGCTATTGCAAGACAGACAGGATCAGCCCATTTTGGGTGCCCAAGCGACAAAAAGAGGCTGTTTTGCTTCATACAGTTTCTGTGCGTTAGTAAAACACAGGGCTTACATGCCAAAAAGCTCAGGTTTGGACACCACAGCCCACTGCCACATGTGGGTGCATGCCACAGGGCTCTGCTCCATCCCATACCAGCACTACACTGCAGAGCATTGCCACACACTGGGGCCAAAGAAAGAAAAACACCCAAAGCTTGAAAACTGCCTGAAACATGCCCACCCTTCAAGAGCATCCCTCCCTCCCACCCAACAGGCACAGACACAAAAAGCCACGTCCTCTACTCCCTGCAGGCTGTTACTCAGAGCCCGGCTATTGTCAGACACCGTTCTGAATTTAGAAGCAGCACCTATATTTAGAGCACGTACAGCATCACCTGCCCTGGCCCCCAGCACTACTGCACCCCTGGCCCCAAGACCTATGTGGTCCCATGCTGCCCGTCAAGACTGACTCCCCCAAACTCCAGCACAGGGAGCAATGCTCCAGCAGCTTCAGTTTGAAGCCACAAACTGCTCATGGATGGCTGGAGGTGGAGTGGCGATGCTCAGAAGGGGACAGGAGATGCCCATGACATCAGCCAGCACCGGGTACCTTCCCAGCAGCTGCATGGGCACAGCTTACCCCCTTGCACTGAGATGGGGGATGCTGAAGCTGAGACAGAGCAATGGAAAAACTTCCTGGGGAATTTTTTGATCCTTTGGCAGCTGGAAATGTCTGTTTAGGAAGCACATGGAGAGCAGGGACAGCAGAAGTGCCACTAACCAGCGGGGACCAATCAAGGGAGTAGGAGATTTTGCCCCATAAGCGAGATCTGCTCCTTGGGTGTGCAGAGGGCAGCTTGACCACTAGAAAGAGGGGGTTTGGTCCATGACCGACCCCAGGAGCTGCCGGTCTTTGGAGCTGGTGGGATTTGCTTCTGGCAAGCAGAGCTCCTCTGGGGGAGCTCACAAAGTGATCAGGGCAGGGACTGATCTGCACATACAGGAGCAGAGCAGTTTGTGCTCAGAGCATCTTTCAGTCAGGAGAACACATGGGTTAGTTATCCAGGACCAAAGTGAAGTCTGTCTAAAGCTTTGTTTGGGGCTGGAGCAGCCCCAAAGACCCCGACCACAACAACCTGCAGCAGCGCAAAGCCATGGGCAGGAGGAAGGGTAGGATGAGAGCTGCACCACCTCCCCCTGCCCAACATCCCGTCTCCATGCACATGTCCAACTACACCAACAAGACCCTCAGCCCACAGAGCAAGCCCTTCCCTGAGGCTCCAAAGGCACAGCACCCTCCAGCTCCACAGGACCACACTTGGGCTGATGATGGACACAACTCAACAGCAGAAACATGCCAGTGATTACCAGGGTGAGCCATCCATTACCACAAGGTGACCACCATCTCTCCAGGCTGGCAGCCAAAGCATCACACCCACAGCCAAGGGTGCACATGGATCATTAGAGCTGACAGCACATAATTACCAGGTTAACTAATGACGAATGCTGGAAGGTGGCCCTATACTGCATTTTCAGTATTTTCAGTAGAAGAGAGCCACCCTGCTCACCCCCCTAAACCACACTCCTCTCCCAAAGCCCCACTGACTCTCAGACACCCACCTGCCCACTGTGCCAGGGCCATAGGGTTTGCAAACCCAGCCAACCCCAAGGCAGCCCCCTCTGAAGGGGTTGCCAGGCACTGGGAGCAGACAGGGGCCATAGCTGCAGGAGAAACTGGGTCAGAGGACATGCTAAAGCCAGGTTACTCTGCCAGGAGTACAGAGCTTAGGATACAGACAAGCACACACATCTTCCCTCACCAGCAGACGTGAGCATCTTCTTTTCCTGGGAAAACACAGCAAAGAGGTTTGCCACCACCCCCTTGGCTACTCTGGTGCCAAGCGAGCCATAACCCCAGGGACAGCCCTGTCCTTGCCCCTTGGGCAGCTCACTCCTGCAGACATTGCTCGGTACAGCCAGCAGTAGAGCTGCCAAAAGACCCCTCACCATGGCCACCTCTGACAGACAAAATGTAACTCCCATCACTGGGAACATCTGGGATGTGGTGAGGAGAGGAAGGCAATGTTCCCAATGCTCTGCTACAGAGACGGGTACACAGCGGCGCCCCTGGGTAGGCTTGGTCCTGCCACCAACAGAGTGTGGGAAGTGAAAACCCCAAGGGGCTCCCCAACATTTTCAGATGACTAGAACAAATCCATGTATGTGTATATCTTTATATATACAGCATATAAATATATATACACACACATACACTATGTACACACACAGGCACACCTAGAGTTCTCCATATATAAATAAATATACGTTGGTGGGAGACAGGATACATTCGGCAGCACTGAGCCCCCTCGCCCTGCTCCCACCTGCCCCAGCACAAACCAGGTGGGTTCTCTTTTGCCTGCCACATCCCTGGCAGGCAGAGCCACTCTAGTCTGCCTGGTGCACCCCAAATCCTCAGCCCTTGCACCCCTCTATCACACTCTGCCCCTTTTCCAGGTTGGAAGAGACCCCTGGGGAGGGAAATTCAAAGCCACAGCAGCATGAGCCCAAGCAACAGAGCAAAGGGGGCTCCTAGTACCCCCCTGTTGGGACTCTCCAGCCTCAGGGAGCAGAAAACCATCCAGACAAGCCTTCCTGGGGGTCCTGCTCGGGGCAGGGAGTGGGGCTGCAGCTGGGGGGAATCTCATGTTCCCCTGAGAATGCGCACCCGACTGGGTCACTCTGCTGCCCATCAAATGTTTCTCTGTGCAGAAAAAAAAAGTGATAGTAATAAAGGAAAGTCGACAGATTTTAATTTTTTTTTTGCACAAAGACTTTTTTTTTTTTCCTCTTCTTTTCCCCCCTCCATTCCGGTCAGTTTGGTTTTCTCCTTTTCCCCTGCATTTGGTTTTGGTTTTGTTTCATTCCCAGGCGTGGCAAAGAGCATGCATTGGAGAGGGGCAGGGCAGTGGTGGGAAGGGGGAGAGCTGAGATGGGGCGGGGGCAGCTTCTAGCACTTGTCGTCTTCCTCGGTGTCGCTGAGCACATCGATGCTGGCCCCACACATCATGCCTTGCCCTGCCCCTCGCCTCCGCCGCCGGTAGTGCCCGTTGGGCATCTGCCAGCTGTGCCGCAGCGGCGGGGCTGAGCCGATGGTGTTGGAGCGGCCGAGGCTGGTGGCGACGGCCGCCTCAAAGGTGAGCGTCTCCTCCTCACCGCAGTCTGAGGCATGTGAGTCGTCATGCAGGGCCAGGTAGGGCTCGGAGATGTAGCGCTGTGGGGTGGACTGTCGGCTCTGCTTCCCCACTGGGGAACTGGAAGACTCGGTCAGGCAGGCGGTGTTGGGCTCCAGGGTGGAGGAGAGCAGTGGAGACCCTCCCTCGCTCTCCTCAGCAGGTGGTGAGGCATCTCCGGTGTGCCGCAGCATGGAGGCGTAGGAGAGGAGGGGACGCGGCTTGGGGGGCACCGGTGGGAGCTGGCGACGGCCTCGCCGAGGGGTGCTGGTGTCCGAGATGGAGGGGATGGAGCTTTCGCTCAAGGACCCCATTCCCTGCAATGCACCAAGACATGCTGGGGAACACAGGTGTGACAAGCAGCACCATGCACCCAGTCTGCCCACCACTCAGCCTGGGGTCTCCAGAGCATCCTCCAACTTGAATGAGGCCCTGCTGAATCTTTGCCTGCCCCATCCTGGCCTCAGGATCTGCTCCAGGGACAAGGATGGTATCTGTGTTTGTGGCCAAAAGTAGTAAGCACCCACAAACCTGCTGCAGCAAGAGCTAACAGCTCACCAGCTGCTGATCTCTAAAGGCAAGATCTCCATGGTTTCAAGCCCATTCAAGCACTGGCATCTCCAAGTTTCTGTAGCTGAGACACCTTGACCTTGGCAGGGAGCGGATGCTACAGTGATGAGAAGATCAGTGTGGAGATTCACCCCTCTTCACAAATGCTCTGCAGGGTGCCCCAGAAGCCCCAACCTGCCCAGATCACAGGAATGTGGAGGTACCAGCACAGGGAGGAGTGATGGTGCAAAGCTCCCAGAGTTGGGGCTTATCTTCCCGGTTTTGGCAAGGAGCTTTTTCTACATCTCCCTTTGTGTTTAGGAAGGATGTTTGTCACCCACCTGCCTGCTGGGTGTCTGCGACCTGCCCTCGCTGGGTGACCGGGACTCACGCCGTCGCTCTGGTGACTCATCTTGTGCCTGGGGACTCCTCTCCTCAGAATTGCAGCGGGAGATGTCAGGGGACAGCAAGTGCTTGCGCTCTTTGGATCGTCCCCTCTCCCTGCCACCTGAGCGATGCCCGTCGGACCGGTGGCCTGCAGGACATCTCCGTCAGTCCACACTGTCCCCTCCCCTGGAGTAGGGGATGCTTAGCTGGGGGTTCGTTTGGCATTGACGTGGGATGGGACCGCCCGCCCTTGCTCACCTGAGTCAGTGTTGAGACGCCGGGCGGAGAGCTGGAGTGAGGAGTGGTAGCTGCGCCGGCGGGACTTGTAGGTGTTGTCGCTGCTGCGCTCCATGGAGAACTCATCCAACCAGGAGCTGTTGGTGCGCTTGTCCCGGATAGTGGAAAATGATCGCCGCATCGAGCTGGTGTCTGTCACCACCTGCAAGCAACCCCAGCCCGCCGGGAGAGGGGGTTAGTGCCAGGCAGAGCTGTGGGGGGATAGCAGCCAAGCAATTACCAGTTCATTCACCATCACTGGCACACCAGCCTCCAGGATGGGGAGATTTGGGGTGAGGGGGGCAGCATAAATCAGGAGTGGGAGGAAAGTGGGATTTAGCCTTCATGCTCATGGGCTTCCCTTCCCCAGCTGGCTTGGAATCATGCTCCACAAGCAAAGCCAGTGACTACCATTCAAGCCAAGGCACTGTGTGCTGGGGGAAGAGCAGCAGCATCCCACCCAAGGTGTGGGGACATGAAGGGTACCAAACCATTGCCCCCAGGCTGTCTCAGCATCTGTCCCCACCTTGAAATCAGGATCAAGCAGAGTGAAGAGACATCGAAGAAGAAACGATTGACAGAGGGGATCCTCCAGTGCCCCTCACTTTGTCCTTATTTTCCCAGCTGCTGCCACTTTCCCAGACCCTGCCCTGGTCCTCCTTTATTCCCGCATCCCCATCTCCTTCTGCAGTCATTCCCTCTCTCCCCAGTCACAGTGGTTTTTTTCTTTTCCTTTTCCCTTTATCCTTTCCTTTACCCCTCCTCCTTTCCTGTTTCCTTTCTCCTTTCCTTTCTCCCTCCCATACTTCTTTCTACTCTCTCTCCTTCTAGCTTGTGTTCTCACATGTTTTGTGGAAGGTATCACCTTCTTTTGTATGTTCCTTTGCTTTATTCTAGTGGCTTTTTGCCTCTGCAGTCTCGGACTGTTCTCCCTGTCTCCTCTCCTTGCATTGTAACATTTCTTGCTCCCATTCTCTCCTGATCATCTCCCCCGCTGCTGAATGGGGAGAATAAAGCCCACAAGACAAAGCCTCCCTTCCTCTTTATGCCCCTGCCAAAGTGCCACGACATGTCACACTGGCACTGACACCGGGACCTCTTGCTTGCACCACCGCCTCTGTGAGAAAGCAGACCCACAGACTTCACAGCAAAACCGAACCTCATGTAAGTGCCTGTGTCTCAGTGGAGGCTTGAGTACAAAACAGAACAACAGAGAAACCAGGCAGACAAACAAGGAGGTGAGATGTGGCCTGGCTTCCCTGGACAGATGGAGAAGCATGTGTGGTGGGACAATGGGAGACAAAGGAAAAGGAGTTTCATGACCTGGGAGATCACCTGACAGCGGGGCTGGGACTTCTTGAACCTCAGCCAGTGCCCAGGGCTGAAGAAAAGGAGTGGTGTCCCACTGCAGGGAGACCCTGAAACCTCGCTCCACCATGGACCTCCCACATGAGCCAGGAGATCGATTCCACTGGCTGCTCTCTGCTGCCAGTGTCCCCCATGTAAAGAGAGGTCTGCAGCACCCCAAAGATGGGGGAGATGCTTCAATATTGGGGTGCTGGAGAAGCTGTGAGGCTCGAGGGACTTGTTCAGTGCAGAGAGAAGCCCCAGTGTTACCTGGTAGGCTCTGCTTGGACCCAGCACCCATGGGGGCTTTGCTTGGTTTTACCTGGGGATCCACAGTGAGACGAGGCATGGAGGAGGCCCTCCCAGAGACAGCATGGTCCTGAGTGTCCACGGGAAGGTAGCTGCCACGGTTAGAGGGCTGCACTCTTTGAAACTCCCTAACCTCTGGCTCCTGGAAATAAACACACAGCCAAGCTCTTGGGATGGGATTGGAGCAGGGCAGTGCTCTGCTTCTGCCCTGTTCACAGGGGGCAGCCCTACTCTCTCAACAGGAGGCAGAATTTAAGTGGGCCAGAAAGGGAGTCCAAAACACATTGTCCATCATGTCACCACTGAAAAGTAATCTATTCACAGTCCATTGCAGATGAGCATAAATGTGGTGCTTCAGGCTTGCCTAATGGCCAATCCATCTTGCACCTCCTCAGTGGCAGTGAAAACCCCGCCTGCATCTGGTAACACTCTGCCTGGGCTTTAACTCCTTCTCCTTTTACTGGAAGGGAACAGACATGTGGGATTTTCTCTCTGACCTTGCTTTAAAGGCTTTCTGGCCATATCCCTATTAAAAGAAAGCATGCCACCCATGGCACCTTTGCATTTTGGTTAATTCCCAGAGTAAGGGATAATTTTGTACATGGTGTGGTGTCAAGGAGAGGGGCAGGGAGTGATTTTATGGGGAAACAGGAGTCTCATCTGCCACCACCCTACTGGCAGGATGATGGAGTGGTCAGGGAGGCTGGGGACGCCCTCCTGCATGGTATGCAACTCATACAGAGTACTACGGACCCCAGGGACATGGGCCAGGCTGGAAATACACAGTGGTACAACACTGCATCTGACACGTGTCAGGGTGGTGCACGAATGCACACACACAGACATGGAGAGATATATATAGATATGTATATATATATACACACACACAGACAGACACTGCTGCTGCTGGCCAGCATGTGTGTGAGGCTGGAGGGTGTCCTCCCATTAGAGACAGTTTGACAGCTCGGTTTGGAATAGGGGACACCAGCACTGACAACAAAATGAACACAAATCCAAAAACATTAGATACCATCACTCAGCATGGGGTAGGGATAACCCACTGAAATGAGCACTCAGTGGTAAAAAGAGTAGCCTGTGAAGAGAAGGATATTTTACTGCAGAACACTGGACCTTCGTCATAGCTCTTGCCCCAAAAGCACTTTCCACAACCTGGCCCACTGGCCAGGGCTGGTTCAAGGATGGCTAGGGGACACCCAGGGACATCTGTCCCCTGGCTTGATGCTTGTGTGTCCCAGCAGCTGCCATCCCTCCACTGTACTTGCTGCTACAGGGGCAAGGAGTAGCATTTCACCACTGTGCTGGCAGCCCCACACTTCCCAGTGCCCACCAGCATCCCTGCTAGGACCAAAGGTGAGCGCCCGCCAGTCAGTGCGTAACTTTACCAAAGACTGGTGCTCCTGGAACTGCCCGTGGGCTGGATCCATGCATGCCAGCTGGAAGATCTCCTGTGGTGAGAGCGGGCTCAGTGAGGGGAACCCGCTTCTGCCACTCCTGCAAAGACAGTCCAGCTTCAGAGAGGCCACAAGCCAAGTGTTGGATCACTTCTCCAGTGGCTCAGAGCTTGGGAGCTGCCATGCTTGCTCCCCAGGCTGTTGAGACCCCCAGGACAAACATCATGTTCCTCTGAAGTCCTGAAGTGGTGCCCAGACAGGAGAGGACACCAGCGCCCAGGTCTCAGCAGCAGCAGGGACATCCCAAGAGCAGTGTCAGCAACTCCCACCACCTCATTCCCACCAGCCACGTTACTGGGATCCCTCACCAACCCTGCACCACCCAGGGACCCTCTGCTCAACTGCTCTCAAGGTTTAGGTCCATCCCAGGCCCTCCTAGGTAAGAGAGCTTTCACTTAGTGCTGGCATGGTCCTGCAAGAACAGCATCCATGCAGAATACCTTGCCATACCCCTTCGCTGCCTCCTCTGCTGTTGGTGATGCTGACACATACCAGCTACCTATAATCCTGCAAAAGCTTTGTGCTGTAAATTTTCTGCCCTAGAATGGCAATACTCACAGGCCAGAGAGAGTGTCTTGCTGAAGGTAAGGCAGAGCCTTTGCATTCGAGATGATTTCCTGCGGCAAGGAGGATGGCTCCATGCGCTGGAACATGGGAGCATTTTTCTGTATTAAAGAAAGGAAGAAACTCAACCTGTAGGAAATGCAGTTGAACATCCAGTGCTTTGTCAACCAAGCCCCCAAGGCTTAGGAGGGTGACAGCATGCTCACGTTCACAGCCAGGACCAAGGATGCACATACACACGCCTTGTAGTCACCAAATCCCAACCTGTACCACCATCTCCAAGCTTAAGCTGCATCCCATGCAGCTGGCTGCACGTTTGGTAGGAAGCAGCGAGGGTGCTCTGAACATCCCTGTTCTGCCTATCATGTGCCCTTACTGAGCCTCACCTGCTCTTCCAGCTGCTGCCGCTGCTTCTTCGCTTTGCTCTGCTTGTAGTAATCCATGATCATCATGGCTGCATATATTTTGCCAACAGTCAGGTCAGAGGCTGAGAGCACAAGAGGAAACAAAGTGGGGACACTTGTGTCTTAACAGAAACAGCAAATCTGAAGGCACCAGAGTGGATCTCAGGAAGAGCCCTGCTGTGGGACACCCTGGTGACCCATAAATTCTACATATCACTCCAAAAAAGAGAGAGCTGAACCCCCAGACACTCCACATGGAGACAAAATGGATTGAGATGGCTTGAAAACATCATCATAAACCACCAAGACATATATCCTCATCACATTATTAAATATAACAGAGCAAGTGATGCTCCAGAGACAATTTACAGGAGACTGGGTTTGGCATGGTATTTTTCAAAGAGGGTTCCCAAGCAGCCAGGCAGAGCGAGGCAGAAGCCAGTCTGTAGCAACACAAATCTTTTCCCCTCTTCTGCCCCTTTGGAAAGAAGTTGCTGCAGGTATGATAGGAACTTGGCAGCAATGACAGCCTCCCCTCACCACCAAGAGACTCACTTTTTGGCATGGGTACCAACAGGTCAAGCATCTTCTGGGACAGGTGAGGCCAAATGGTCAGGATCTCCTTTTGAAGCTCGGAGTCTAACTGCTGCCAATCTGCACCACCTTGAACAGCGGGGGGGAAAAATGACCCATGTACATCAAGACCTGGCACCAGGGTGCAACTAAAATCACCCCTTTCCCACCCTGAAGTGAGGTTCACAAGCAGGAAACAGCTCTGGGCTGAGAGGGCAGTCTTGCATCATCGAGCCTGGTCTCCTGCTCTCACAGGGAAACTTTCCAGCTATCTCTTCTGTATGTGCCTCCATCTCCCCATCCCCTGCCCTCCCACTCAAAGCTGCCATCTTCAAGCTCGCCTTGGGTCCATCTCTGCGTCTCCAATCCTACTCCAGCCCACACACACCTGCTGCTGCCCCACTTTCTCTTTTCTGGTGAGTGGATCATGTGCTGGTGAAAGAGCAGCTCCACTTGGTTGAAATCCTTAAACACTCAGTGATGCTGTGCAAGCAGAGCTTTCTGGCCAGTGGTGAAGAGGTTTGCTGAGCTTTAGAAGAACTCAAAGGGAGCTGTCAACACATGTCAAATGGAGACACCTGAGCCCAGGGCAACTCAGCCAAGCTGTAGGAGACCCAGGTTCAAATCTCTGCTTTATTTAGAGGGACATAAGGAGCTGTCTGATCACTGGGCTTTTGATGATATCTTGCCCTGGGTTGGGTTTTTTTCCAAAAGCAGAGCTGTTGAAAACAGGGGATGTTTTCTTGATAATGGCATGTTTCTGCAGAAAGTTTTTCATCTGATGAATCAGAGTGTTTCCAGCAACAACAACAAAGCAGGTGTTATCTTCCTTGAGAGAGAGATTTCTGTTCCCCACAGCTTTAGCAAGTCAAGCACGTGATCTTTTCCCTGCTTGGTTTGGTTTTGTACATGGGGAGGAAGGGGAATTCTCCCTCTCCTCCATTACACAGTTGGACATCAAGCTGTTTCTGTTCTCCAGAAGCAGTTTCTAGTGGAAAACTGACCACCTCTTTCCAAAAGGAATAAATTTGTTTGTTTGTTTGTTTTAATAGAAAGCAGCAGAAATTTGCCTGTTCAAGGTAATCACTTCCATCCACTTGCCAGGCTCTAGGTGGCCAACCCCAATTTGGCTTGCCCAAAGGATGAGTGATGGTCACTCTGAAAACCTGCTGTCTCTGACCTCTCTGTACCCCACTGACCTCACCTTTGGCAATTTTGATGTCCAAGGCTGTGCGTATCAGTGCCATCAAGGTGGAGGTAAAATGGACTGTCATGTCCTCAGCCACGGGCATGTTCATCATCACCAGTCTCTGCGCAAGAGAGAGAAGAAAACAGCGGACGGAAAACAATATCGAAAAACACATCGACCAGGCTGGAGGAAAAGAAATTAAACATTAAACAAAAGGGGAAAAAATAAAAAATAAAAAGCAACAAAGAGTGTCAAAACAGCACAGCCAAAAAAGAAGGGCAAGGATCATCCCGCCACCCCCCCCGGCTCCTTCCACCCCAGGACACCGGCTCACTGCCTTCCAGGGCTTCTCCTGCACCCCTGGAACGGCCCCTGAGCCCCCCTCCCCACAGCAGCAGGGCTGCCATGGCACTTCCCGGCACTTTGGGAAGACACGTCTGATCCATCAGGGATGCAGCAGTGAGAAATGCTCGGGAAAGGGAGAGGGGGCTCAGGTTTCCGTTCCCGGGGTGGTTTGGCTTTCCAGCTCTCAACCCTTCCCACCTTGGGGAGGTGAGAGGAGGGTCCCTAACCTTCAGGGACTTCAGATTGGCTGGAATCCTCTAGCATGCTACATCCTGGCGCTCCCTTTTTGCGTCTTTCAGAGATGAAGTTTGCCAGCACATGCACAGGGTCCAAATTATTCAAGGATGGGGAAAGGAAGGAGGGGTAGGAAAAGTGCAGAAGGAAAGAGAGAAGGGCAACCAGGGCAGGTTAGACACGCCATGCTCCTTCCCCACCCTGGGCAGGCGGGGTGCAAACGGAAGTGACCAGATCCACTTTCCAGAGAGTATATTTTGCTTTGTGAATACCTTGGGTCAACCCTTCCCTGTCCATTCCTTTTCACCCAGCTTCTCATGTCCTTTTCCTGCCTTCAAGCCTCCCTTTTTCTCCTGGGAAAGTGTGATGGTGGTATACGCATGTGTGAACAAACATGTGGGAGCTGAAGAGAGTCGCAGACTGTTTGCAAGTGTGCACAAATCCCCCCTTCGCTAGCTCTGAATGCTGTTGAAAGGGCTGCAGGAAACAGCCCATGACCAAGAAAAACTTCAGTTTGCTCCAGACCTGAGATACACGTGGTCCTGTAGCTCTGGGTCTTGTCCTAGCAACTGCTACCCTTAGCAAAGCCACACAGCTCCCACCCCATGTCCTTCAGGGCTTCCCATGCTCCTGCTCCATGCCTATGCAGCTGGGAGCACGCTGTGCCAGTGCCATAAACTGACCGCCAACCTCTGGTTCAAGAGGAACAAGGGGTAAAACCCAGAGACACCTTTTGAAAACACCTGGCTTTGCCTTGCACAAGTCATTCTTGGGGTAGGCTATGCTTATGTGCCTGGCTCCTTATGCACTGAAGAGCTGCTCCTACAGGATATGCCCTTGCTGCTCACCTGCTTCCCATCTCCATAGGCTTTAGCCCTGTTTCTGCACTGGCTGGAACAAGGATGGTTCCAAGCCTAGGTGAAGAGCTTGGGTCAATGAGCTTCTAAAGACATTTCACTCCTAACTGTGCTATGGGGTTGTTCTTCACCTCATCTTCTCCAGCCCTCCCACTTCCACACTATTGCTGATCCTGCCACTCCTCTTCCACCCCAGAGCTCCCCAGGCTTACAACTGACCACAGCAGTGTTGCATGTGTGGGCAATGGAGACCAGCCAGCATGGCCAGAACTCTTCTGAGGACACCAGGCTCCCAGGAGTGAGCTAAACACGTGCTGGATACCCCAAATGCTTCCCCAGCCCCCCCTCCCACAGCTCCCTTGAGCCCCAGCTCCTCCTCGGCTCTAGCCCACATAGAAGGAAGGGTTGATCTACCTTATAGGCCACTTTGGAAGGACATCTCTTGCCGAGGCCTAGCGGTGGTGACATAAGAGTCAGCATTTCATACATCTCAGTGTAATGGATTCGGCCACTGCTCATGGAGGGGGTAGGGGAGGGAGGGAGATGCAGAGAGAGAGGAGGCATTCCCAGAGAGCAGGAAAACATACAAACAAAAATAGTACAGGAAAAACAGGAGAGAAAAAAAACAAACGGACAAACAGGAAAAGAACAGGAAACCTGTTAATCAAGGCAAATCATACATGACAGACTGTCCTGATGTGGATTTATAGCACTGCTCACACAGACCCAGGAATGCTGGCAGAAAGCAACTCACCCCTCTCCTCTCTGCTGCTGGCCTCAAGCGCCTGTCTCGCTAGCAGTCTGGGGGTCCTTCTCTGGTCTCAACCCCTTTCCTAAAGCCCTCCAGCAGCCCCCAACTTGTCCCACAGGTTCCAGGGCTGTGTGCGAGTGGTATAAATCAGATACACGGCACTCAAGCCATGGGTTATTTGAGATAATGGTGGTCTGCACCACAGCGCTCTGTGGCCTCCGTAACATCTTCCCTCCTGGGGGGGCGGGGCTGGATATTGCTTTGCATTGCCACCTAACCCATAGCTGGAAGGCTGTGTATCCCCAGCTCGTAAGGTCTATGCAATTGGGAGGCAGCATCTTGCATAGAAGGCAGTGGGCCAGGGTCACTTGTCCAAGGAAGATGCCCAGTTGCTTCCGTCTGGCTCTGCGGATGGACCACTTTCCCACCATGCACCAGTGCAAAAGGCATGCTGAATTGGCTGGAAAAAACAAAACTGGGAGGAAAAGTTGTACATGCCATGCTCCCGCCCTGGCTCTCTCCCACATGCGGCTGCAAGTTCCACCAGGTTGGAGTTTAAAGAGTCTCAGCAGAGGCAGCTGTTTGGGCCTTCCAACATTGGGGTTCATTTGGGTTTCCCAAGGGAGGCAGCTAGGATGGACCCCCACCTCATGCTCCTCTGCTCTATAAGGTCCTGTCTAGGACTGCTGCAGTGAGGAACTCTGCCAAAATGGGTGACCTGGTGATGCCTTGAGCCCTCTGCCAGGCTGAGATACTTGTCTTCCTCTCTCTGCACAGCCAGGAGGCTGCTCAAGTACCATCTCCCAGGGATCCTGGGCTCGGCCACCTCTTCTTTCCCCTGCAACAGGCTTCTGTCCTGCACTGCAATGTTCAGCATTGTTAATGGGCAAGGGCAACCTCACAACTGCAAAGGCATCAACCCTTGGAGCTGGGCTGTGAGGATGCTGCTGAAGAGGAACCCATTTCATCTGGAGTGGCTGCTAAAAAATTAGGCACTCCCCATGGGATCTTGGACTCTTCCCTACCCGTGTGCTTAGAGAAGTGTGGAAAGGGGAGAACATATCTCCTCAAAGGGTGCTACTGTTTTGAAGCAGACCCCTGGCCAAGAGATCCCCCACCAAGATAAGTCCTGACATTTTGGATGTGAACACAGTGATGACCACAACAGGAGCTTTTGGGGTGCAGGTACAGAACAGGCTAGGCAAGCTATCCCCTTTGAGACCAGACACCCCTAAACAGGTTGGAAGGAGGATTGATGACAATACTGGAGAATATTAAGTGGGATGATCAAGAAGTAATATCTAGGTTTAGAGTCTGTAAGCAGCATCTTGGCAAAGCTGGATGTGCACCAACTTGGGGTGTCTGAAGGGGAGAAGATGGCTTCAAAATTTTTACACATGAACTCAGTGCAAAAAGGAAGCAAGACAATGATCTTCCACACACCCTTCCTGGCAAGGGTTTTGTTTAGCATACCCAGCACACATCAGACACTGTCTTTCATACTGAGATTCTCCACACAATGAAGAAGGAATGGATTTCTGTATAAGGAAGAGTTTGCGTCAGTAACCAAGAAGGACCACACAAGAATTGTTTTATTCTCACACATGGGCTGCACATATTGCTGCTTCTCAGAGCAGGGATCTTAAAGCATTTTGAGCAGTACAGCAGTGGCCACAAACCACATCCCCATGAAGCAAAGCACAGGCAGGCACATGGAATGTCATCCATCTGAACAGGATGGCTCCCAGGGGCTGGTCCAAGCACAGGCATATCCTTGATGAGAGAGCTGACCCTCTGTCCTGTGACTGGGCAGAGATGTGACCTACAGCTATGGCCCAGAGTGACCTGTAAAACCACCAGGCACTAATGGCTCAATCCTGGTACTCTGAGAGGACCTTGTGAGTGATGGAGGAGGAAATATGGGAGGACACATGCAGTCTTCCTGTGGTTACGAAATAAGTACTGGGCCATACAAGGCTGTTAGAGCATCAGAATAGCAAGTGATGTGAGAATTGATTCAGGAATAGGTGATGTCCACAGGGATGTCAATGTCTGTGGAGCATTCACCTGACCCATGGGCATCTCAAGGGCTACTTTTCAGGGACAAAAGTGATGCCTTGGCTCACTTTTGCATGACTGATAGAAGCAGAAGGGGTGAAGAAAGGCAGAGATACCCCCAAGAAGTGGAGCAGGCTGCCAGGACACAATCCCAGAAAGATGTGGTTACAAGACCTGCTCTCCCAGCATAAGGACAGAGCTTGCCGAACTTCTTAGCCCACCTGAGGATAGCCTAGTGGGTATTCTTCCATACCCTGCTGTACCACTGTGTTGCATCCTTGCCTCAGACCCATCTCTTCCAGAGCAGGCTGTCCACCACTCCATAAACACATCTGTGGTTGCTTCTGCAAATCATCATCGCATGGATATGGGTGTGGGCTCCAGGGAGGTTAAAACTTGTGCACTGTGATGTGCAGGGCAGGCTCATCAAACAGAAAGGTGAGCAGGTTGGGCTGGCATTTGGGGATCTGGACCATGGTGGAAAGATGCAACAACCACATGGGTTTTCTTGCTTCATCAGTTGCCTTTTGGGAATTGTTGTAGGGCAACAGGAATCCCTGAAAATCTCTCATGTCCTTGAAGTACCCAATGCACAGGGAGGAGAAGATAAAGGTAACACAAGGAAGAGATAGGGACATAACAGGAGAAGCTGGTCTCACTCTCTTTGCCTCCACTTCTCCTTCTCCACCTTCACTGCTCTGTCCATCCCACAGAATCACCAGAAAAAGTCCCACAGAGCTCATTCTTCCCAGGAAGAACTACAGGTACCTTTCTGAGCACCAAGTGATCCAGCTTAGGAGGACAGCATTTGCCAGTGAAGCCCTATTGTCAATTGAAAAGACCAGCAATTCTCCCTGAAGGTATCCTCTGTCTGCAGGGACCTGAGCAAATGTCCTCAGCAAAGCCACCATCCTTTGCCAGAGATGTGACAAACAGAAGTGGAAAGACTGCAAGGAGCCCCTCCTTGAACAGATGAGTCATCTGAGATTCTTGCAAGAAGTCTCCTATCCCTAAATACCTCTTCATTCATGAGATGACTGAGAATCCAGACCTTGTCTTGTATGGCTTTACTTCCAGTGGCCTACTTCAAGATTTCAAATGTGTGCATCATCTCCACATCCCTCCAGCTGTGGAGGGAGACAGACCCATTCTAGGGATGCTGGCTGGAAGAAGCATTACTGATATGACAAGAAAGGATGTGGTGGTTACACCATGCCACACCAAGGAACCCTATTCCTTTGCAGAACCAAGATTAAGAGTTGAGGGCATCTGAGCTTCCCTTGTACATGTCCTCAGATACTGTGAGGGGAGCAGAATGAAGAACAAGCTTTGCGGTTCATCCTTTCATGGCACAGACACTTAGGTGTCATGGCACTTCAGAGAAGGCAGCAGGCACGGGATTTTGCCCAACAGTTGCCCCAGGATAAAATTAAAAAAACCCCAACAAACCAAACGTGCAAGTCAGAGATACACAAGGACACCAAGTCACTGCTGGGCACTCATGGCCAGCAGCTTGGCTCATGCAGAGTGAGAGAATCTGAGGCTCCAGAGATGTGCCCAGGTCCCACCACCTCCCAGGCAGGTCTGACAAGCTAAGGACAAGGCTAGCGAGACTCCTGTTCCCCAGAGATATGGTCATACATCCTCCAAGCACCACACTTGAGGAAGAGTCTGTTTGGTACTGGTACTCTACCAGGGAGAGAAGTCACCCTGGCGTCCCCCCAGTCCTCACTCCCTAAAACAATGACAAAATCCCAAACAAGCCAAAATCCAAAACAAGCCTTTGTTCCCCCTTTCCTCCCCAGGAGTAAAGCACATCTAAGCCCCCCCGCTCAGAACTCCTGCTTCCATGTGAAGGTACTTTGAAAAGCCAAGCAGGGATGGTGGCATTTTGGCCTGGCACCCTTCAGAGCTCTCTACATTGATGGAGCTGGGGCAAGGGGCTGGCTGGGGGATCCAATTTGTTGAAACCCACCCCGGGAGGCTCTGAGCCCCCCTGGCCCCACACATGCCTCCCCTTGAGGGGGACAGCTGCTGGCTCTGGGAGGCCGCGGACCTCTTTAAACTCGAAGGAAAGCAACATCAGGGTTCCCTCAGGAGGCGCGGTGGTGGTGGAGCAGGGGGAAGGAGGGGTGGATGGTGCGTCCCGTGGCCAGGTTGTGGCGGAGGACTGGGAGGCAAACCTTGCACGCCACCCTGTAGGGGCAGTTCTCTCCTAGGCCCAGAGGAGGCGAGATCACCCGTACTAATTTGTACATATCCTTATACGGGATCCTGCCGCTGCAAAGGAAGCACAGGTGGGTTAATAGAACACTGAGAGGGTGGAGGGGAGGATGGAAAGCCTAACCAGGGGTTGCTGGGGCCATCTGTGGGTCAAGACCCTGGGGGGTCCACGGCTCTTCTCCTGGCTCAGTCAGGCCCAGAGAGGGGAAAGCTGTAAGAATCAGCTACTGCCTTCTCCACTATGAGTCAGCTCATACATCCTCACAATGACCCATCTTGACCCTGTGGAGATGAACAATTTTTGGCAATGAACACCATCCCATCACCCTTTCTCACTGTGCCCCTTGCTGCCTACATCTGGAAGGAGAGGGCTGGGATTTTAGATGGGGTGATCCTGCCGTTTGGTTTAGTTCAAGTCACCACAAGCACTTTTGGTGGAGTTGTGTCCTACCACACCACCAGAAAACCTGTGCTTGCTTGGCCAGTTCTTTGGTCCTCACAAGGTCCCAGGGAGACTCGAAGCTGAGTCACTTGTATCTGTAGTATCTGGGGAACCTGGCAAGGGGAGACATAATGTGACCAGCTGGTGAGCAGTGGCTGTGGCACTAGCACCTAGGTCTCTCATGGTCTGGTCCTGTGCTCCGACCACCAGATCATGCTCTGCCAAGGCTACACATTATTGGAAGCAAACCCTCCCATACACACACCCCTTCTCTTGCCCACAGAAGCACATCTCCCCAGAGCAGGGTGCAGTCATTGCAGGATACAACCCGTATCCCTCCTGCTCCAGCTGAAGTAACAAAGCGGTCAAGGCAGAGAGCTGGCAGGACCGTGCAGGGACCATCAGATGCTCTGCTCCCCACTCCGCTCCAGACCAGAGCCCTTTGGGAAGCAGGACCATGTGGGGTGGAAGTGCTGAGGTGCAGCATGCTGCAGCCTCCTGGGCATCCTTAGACAAGCCTGGAGGGAAATCACACAAGGAGGCAAAGAAGAGCGTTCCTGTCTACTGAGCACCTTTGTTTCTGGTGTCTCCTTGCTTTTCTCCATACTGTCTCCATCACTGGCCAAAGCTAACCCAACCAGCCAGGTAAAATCCATCCCTGAGCTTCCTTGGTGTTGGGCAGTCTCTTCGTGAGACCTTCATGTGATGGTCTAGGTGCCAGAATGCAGAATTGATGCCCCACTCAGGTAGAGGGACCTATTCGGATGTACTCACCCATTCCTCATCCAACAACTGGGGCTAGGGCTGCCTCCAGGGGCCCAGCACCATGAGTTTCTGTGCACGTTCCCTAACCACTGGCCACAAATCATGACAACAGTGCATGGCTTGCTCAGAAATCGGAAGGGTGCATGGCATCAATAGAACAGGTCAGGTATGTTTTTGAGTGACTGTCCTGGAGACGCAGGCCACCAACACAGGGGGTGAGAGTGAATGAAGTACATGGTGTGAAGAAATCCTTCCCAAAAGCTGCAGGTGAGACGCACCACATGGAGCAGCTGAGTGTTTACTGCTCTCACCTCCTCTCCCTTCTCTAGTTGTCCATCAGGACATCTACTCACCCATGCTGACCTCTCCCCCTTGCACAGGGCATATTCACCCACTAACAAGCAAACCCATCTGCCCACAGAGGCCTTGCACAGCAGCAAGAGTGCTGGAGGAGGCATGCAGGGAGGAACCTGGCCAGCACTGGGCTGCACAGGGTAGGACACAAATGATGGAGTAAACTGTGCCAGGATCTGCTGATATCAGGCATGAAAAAAAATATCTTGGCTGGAGCTGGTCTCTCGAGGTGCAGGACATTAGCAGTGGAAGTGAAGAGTTTCCAAAGGGAGTGTGTGTGGCTGCCAAGAGCTCTCAAGCTTAGATTGCCCATGCTCCTTAGCACAGCAGTAGTCATGGGTCCAGAGGCTGTCTCTGGGGTGTGGGAGGGAGGAAGGGGCTATAAAAGTTCAGGACTGAGTGGAGGGCATACATGCTCCTAAAGTTGCCAAGGGCTCCACACTGCCTTAGGAATGCTACAGACCACCTTAGGAGGAGTAACAGAGAGCAAGTTCTCTGCAGCAGCAGTGGGAGCAGAGCCAAAGCCTGGCCACTCAGGGTATGTACGGCTGCTATAAACCTGTCCCATTGCTGGGAAAAGGCTGCTGACTGCAAATGCCTGTTTGCTGGGGTCCTCATCAGCAAAGGCACAAAACAAAATCTTCTCACTTCTAAGGGGCAAGCAGGCTGGCCAGTGTGGAAACGCAATTCCCCAAACCCAAACATGCTCAAAACAAGGTCCTCAGGGCTGACAACAAGTCATGCTCAGCCCTGCTTTGATGGGGAGCTGTGGGTGTTGGGGACCAAGCGATAGAACTGGTCTCAGAGCAGAGGCACCCAGCTGGTGAACAGGGACTGGGAAGGAGGCTGGGAGGAGAGGAAGAGCAAGAACCTCCAGCGCTCAGGATAAATACTATGGCAAAACCGTGAACATTAGCTAAGACACCTCTGCCACCAGGCACTGTAGGAATGAGGTGCTGCCCTTGTAAGCACCAGAGGCGAGAGCAGCCCTTCCCTGACCATCCCAGGCATTGCAGCTGGTTTCCAGTAGTAGAAGACTGAGACACCCGTTTAAAACCAGCTCTAAGAGGCTGCTTGGGAGAGAAGGACCTGACTACATACCACGCTGCTCTGTCATACTCTGCCCAGATCCGGACAAACTCATCTAGATGGTGAGGTCCCAGGATAGAGGAATCCCGAGTCAGGTATTCAAAATTGTCCATGATGACTGCCACGAACAGGTTGAGCATCTGAGTGAAAAGGAAAATGACAAAAAGGAAAGCGGGGGGAGAGGGAGCAGAGAAGGGGAGAGGGAAAGAAGAGTTAACTGTGGGAAGATGACTCTGGGTGCAGGTTCAGGGGTTGATGAAGGGGACCCCTAGGGCTCACAAGGGGAGGAACTCACCAGGAAAGAGCAGAAGAAAATGAAGGAGACAAAGTAAACATAAGCCAGGTCGGTGCCGCAGCGCTCATTCTCGTTCTGCCCAGATGTCGCCGTCGTGTCTGGCTCACAGCCTTTGCCTTCCAGGCAGGACAGCATGATCTCCTGCCATGCCTCTCCCGTGGCACTCCTGTGCCCAACATAGCCATGCTCAGCAGCTCGTGATGGCACGAGATGGAGCCAGAGCAGGATGCCCCAGGCAGAAAGCACACAAGGAGCTATGCAACCTCCTGCCCAAATTAAACACATCTCTGGCACGCAGAGGAGAAAGGCACTGGGTCAGCAGCAACTAAGCTGGACCGACAGGAGTGTACCCGTGCCAGGGTATAGCTCCAGGCACATGGGGCTGACTCCCCCCAACCAGATGATCCAAAAACCAGAAATACAGACATCCTTTTTGGGGCAGGATGGAGAGGAGGTGGGAGGGGAAGGGGTTCCTGACTTCTTGCAACTGTGTGTTTGCCCAGCTGGTCTCCAGTATCAAAAGCTGACCTCCACCAAACAGCCTGCAATGAGAACCTGTCCAGCCTGACTCCTAGCACACCTGCACCCAAAAACACTACCAAAGGGTCCTGATGGTTGCTTACCTGAAGAGGAGCATCAGGGAGCCCAGGAAGCTGCGGAAGTTGTTGTGCCGGTTGATATGGCTTTCTTCATCTAGTTTGATATTGCCAAAAACCTATAGGAGGGAGAAAAAGGGCTCAGCTCTTCAGGCAAGAGCTCATTGGCTGGGGAAGTGGCTGCGCATTCACCTTGCTCATGGGCACACAGCCCTGTGCCGCAGGGACCAACCTTGCCCAAGGTCCATCACCCTCAGCACAGCTGGCCCCCAGAGCAGTCAACATCCACCCTCTGCACAATCCCCCATGGAAAAGCACCCCAGCAAACACACTGGTGCATAGCCAGCACACTGAAGAGCTGGTGCTATGCAGCCATTGGGGAAAGAGAATCTCCTTTTCTCGGCAGAGATCTGTGGTAGGCGGCAAAGGCTGCAAGAGGCCAAGCTGCCATGGAAACACGAGCACAGAGGACCTGGGATCAACAGAGCCCAACTGCTTGACATCCATCCCTCTGCCATGTTACAGTTATCATCTGAGCACTGCACAGCACGCACTAGTCTTCGACATGCTGGAGGCGCAAGGACGAGTCGCACTGCTCTGGTAGGTGCTGGGCCATGGTACTGGGATGTCCCAGGAGCTTTTCCCTTTGTGGGGAAATGGTCTGTGGTGCTGGGGTTGAGGCACAGCAATGCACGGTAGGGAAAGGCTCAGTGAGATAGGAACAAACCAACCACTAACCCACCATGGACAGCCAGACACCTGGAACTACCATCCCCAAGGCCAAAATAGGCAACAAAGCCCCAAATGTGGACAATACCCTAATAATGACCCACAGCCAAGGCCATGATAAGACATAAATGTTCGTAAAGTGCCTCAAATAGGAAAAATGTGCTGTTATTACTGTTAAATATTTATTCCACTTTCTGTGAACCTAAAAATATACCAAGTGCAGAGTATTTTTTCCCTGTACAGGTTTTTTGGAATGTGTAATTGTAGAATATTTTCTGCCTCCAGCTATTTTGCTCAAATAACGCCCACAGACTTTACTGCTTGGGGATTTGTTCACAATGGTGTTAAGTAAAAAAAAACAAAAAAAAATTGGATACTACCACCCGGCAGGGAAGGCACTGAGTCAGATGGTGGTTGTTTAGCACAGAGAACACCTGGAGCCAGTGCCAACATGAGAGCAGTGACAACCTGCCATGGGACTCTCAGGGCAGGAGAGATGGGGTGGAAGAGACTGAATACGAGCACTGCCAAGCAGCCCCGGTGGGGTTCTCTGCTCTGTGCTCTGCCTCCCCAGAATCTGCCTGTCCTTGTGATGCTCATCAGGCAACAGTGCAGCAGCTCACTCATCAGGCAGCAGCAGATCCCAAGCGTTCACTGTTGAAGATGCTTTGTCAGATCTTCAGCGTGGGATTTAGTCATCACAGAACTGAGCCAGCCCCGCAGCACGTGTGGAGCTGAGGGTTTCAGCTCACGTGCTTCTTATTTACCATCTGGTGCCTGGAAAGCTTACATCTTTCCATGCTCTGATGACCTCCTGCCACCTGGTAGGTCTTTGTGGGTCTCTAAGCAAAGGAGCCCAAGAAAACCATCAGTGGCATGGCTACAACATAAACCCTGAGCAGAGGGACAAGGTGAACAGTGGGCTGCTAAAATCACTTCTGTGACCCAGCCATTTGGATGGGAAAGGCAGAACACTGCTCACCAGGTCCCTCAGGTATGAAATCAATCTCTGAGGACTCCTACGGAGTTGGAAATAGTGATTAATTTCTAAATGAAGGGGTGGAAATTTGAAAGCAGCTGCAACACAGGATGCCCAGCTGAGTCTCCAAGACCACATCTCCAAGGGTATGAGTTGCAAAGGCAGCTGTGGAGCTTGACTGAACTCAGTCAACTGCCAACTGTGGCAGCTCCTCCAGGGCACATGGCTCTTCAGCTCCCAGAAAAGCTATTCCACCCTCAGGACCTTCCTGGACACAGTGACCAAGTGAAGCGACATGCAGGCACGAGAATGCGTGCCATACATAACTCTGAAGACATGGTCCAGCCTGCCCGCACCAGAGGGGTGCACACCGAGATGTCTGTGCTCACCTGCATCCCAATGATTGCATAGATGAAGAAAAGCATGGCAATCAAGAGGCAGACGTAGGGGAGGGCCTGCAAGAGAAGCAGATGAGTGATCTCATTTAGCACATTTAGATCCAGCTCCAAAGGAGTACAAAACGCACAGTGAGGAGGTAAGCTGTGCTCATCCACCTCTCCTACAAGCCAGTAAGTCATTAAGACCTTGGGAACAGCCTGCATTTGGGAGCAGCACCCCAGCACTGTGGCCTGGGATGAGACCAGGACATGTGTGGGACTTACCTTGAAGGACTGCACAAACGTCCAGAGCAGGATGCGGATGGTGTAACCCTGGCGCAGCAACTTGATGAGCCGAGCAGCCCGGAAGAGCTTCAGAAAGCTCATGTTGAAGCTGCTGGTGTTCACCAGCTGGGAGGAGATGAGAGTCAGAGGGAGGTGGGAGCCCCCCACCCTGCAGCAGTACACCCCACTTCTCCCAGCCCCTGCTTCACCTTGGTGTCTGTCAGGATGATCTCTGTAATGCTGCCAATGACAGTGATGAAGTCAAAGATGTTCCAGGTGTCCCGAAAATAATTCTGCAGAAGGAAGGAAAGAGGGAACACAGATTTGAGCTCGGGGATGGCAAGTCTGAAGGATGCTGGGCCACAGACCAAGGCTGCTCACAGACAATGGCAGCAGCAGCAGAGGCCTGGCTGCTCATTTGTATGCCACCACAGTCTGGAGCACCTTCCTGCATCTGAGATGGTGGCAGACCCAAGAGTGTCTGTGGCGAGCATCTTTTCCTGGGAGATGACTCACATATCCAACGGGTCACCCCGGTGCAAGGGAGTGGGAAAAGCAGCCACAGCCAGCCCTGGTCAGGCTGCAACTGCTCATCATGCTGACTCTCACAGCCATGAGGCTGCTTTGCCCTCCCCTTCATGGGCACCTGGACCCACCTCAGCCCCTGCTGGTTTTGCAGCAGTTGGTGCAACACCAGACTTAACCATGGCTGGTGCTGCTAGGAGTGAGGAACTAGAAACCCTCCTGCTAGAGGACTTCGCTTCCCAGTATGCATTACAAACAAGAAAGAAAATATAACAGAGCAAATCCAACAGTTGCTCATAAGCCACAGAGTAGCTGAAGAAAAGGCAGTCCATGGCTCCAAGTCTTAAATGAGCAACTGGGGACTTGAAGACTGAATGAGGCAGGGAGGTCTAACTGCTGGTCAGGTCTGGTCCAATTGATACAGCCCAAGGACAGCAATGCACTAGCTCCTGGGGTTAAGGGATTGCAGCAGCAGTTGGCTTTAGCAGAGCAGCTGCACAAAACATACTCTGGGTCCAGGCACTAGAGTACCACAGGAACAAGGCAAAAAGCAAGGTAATGGTGTGGCTTCCCCCACCAGCATCCAGCAGTGAGAAATTTAACGAGAACCAAAGAAGTGATTCCAGCCTAAAAGCAGCTCTCAGGCTGGGACCCAAAATAAATAGCAACAACCCCACATTATTAACACCTTCCCTCTGTGATCTGTGTGCTGCCGAAGTCCAAGTTAGTACCCTCATCAAGAACAGGAGCAGCCACTCACCAGGAAGCCGAAAGCTATGATCTTGAGGACACACTCTAAGGAGAACACCATGGTGAATGCAATGTTCAGGTACTTCAGGGCCAGCTCATAGGTGTATGGAGCAGAGTAGTACTGATGGAAAGAGAGAGACATTGCTAGCCAGGAGGGGGCCTGCCAGCCTTTTGGCTAGACTGTCCCAGGGAAGACCTGTGGTGGACCATATATATTCCTTGCCCCAAGACTATCTCATCCTTCCCCTCTCCACACCTCTCTCAGGCCAGCTGCCATTCCTTCTCGGAAGGAAGCATGGAGTAAATCCAGATCTTTCTGCAGTAATTAAGAAGTCCAGATCATTTGTGTCATCTTGTTTAGGGAACATCTTGCCTCCAGTTTGGGGCATGTGGTGTTTCAAGTGACTATGCCAAGGAACACATGCTTAGACTTTGCCTCAAAACATCTCCTAGAAACAACCAAAATACCCTCCAGTCCCATCCTCCTTCTCCCCACTGCCCCAGACAGGACAGGCTTACTCTGACCAGCTCACCTTCATCATCAGCACCACAGTGTTCAACGCTATCATGGCCATGATGGTGTACTCGAAGGACGGGGAGACCACAAAGTGCCAGACCCGGTACTGGAAGGTGTGCCGGTTCTGGGGCATGTACCGTGTGAGGGGTTTGGCACTGATGGCAAAGTCAATACAGGCTCTCTGGAATAAAACAACGTGCATCAGACCCTGGCCAATGGTAACATGGGGGACAGCAGCTGCCACACCTTTTTCCTTCATGGGCTGGGCAGGCAGATGGCTCACAGGTTTCTTATACCTTTTCAACATCTAGGGAGCTCCAAGCTCCCAAATTGCAAAAACCCTATGGAAACATCCCCTTTCCCCCCTCCCCAGACCATACCTCATTCTTCTCCAGACTGCACTCCTCCATCATTTTGTCTCCCTGCTCTTGGAATGTAATGATGATGAGAGCCACAAAAATGTTGACGAAGAAGAAAGGGAAGACCACAAAATAGACGACATAAAAAATGGACATCTCCATGCGGTTGCTGCGGCTGGGCCCACGGTCCTCCTCCGTCACATCCACTGAATGCTGCAGCACCCTGTGGGCAGACAGGTGAGGAAAAGCAACCAGAGATATGCCCATCAGGACTGCCACATGTGGCACTTCTCACGGGACCCACTTTGTACAGACAGTTCCGTTTGCCCACACTTGTAACAATGACAAGATAAAGCCCTGCCTTAATCCGCTTTATAAGGACAACTCTTGTAAGTGGCTACAGCTTCTTTATGGTGCTTTGCTTGTGCCCCTGATGGAAAATGGATTTTCCTGTGCTCTATACAGAGAGAAAAAAGTTGCCCAAGCTCACATGAGCATGGAGAGAGGTGTAGTCCTACGGTCATCTCTAAAATTGATCTAAAATATTGCTCAGAGCCACACAGGATAAGGGATTACCCATCACTGACTCCCCAAGGAAGAAGCTAACCCCTCCACAGTCCCAGCATCATATGGGGGCTAAAAGCTCTTTTGTCCTGACGTAATTTCTCATCATCCCTCTCCTCCTCCCTGATCAGCACTTCCTCTCTCAATCCTGCCTGAATGTAGCCAGTTATTAACCCAACCACCCCATTCAAGGGGGCAGGTGAGGCAGAATACTCACTGGGGCCAACCCTCGCCAGTGGAGACTGTGAAGAGAGTGAGCAAAGCCCAGATTATATTGTCATAGTGAAACTCATGGCGCTTCCATTCCCGGCACTTCACCTCCATCTTGTTCTTCTCATGGTCCACATAGTTCCCTCTGCAAGATTGGGAGAGAGCAATGACCTTGCTTTTTAAACTGCCAGACTACGAGACAATGGCTTTACACCCTGGGGCAGTGTGTGTGCACAGTGAGGGGGCACCTCTGTTCCTGCAAGGCTGGAGGGAAAAATGGGGAGAGGCTGGATAACAACCAGGGTGAAGCAGAGAAGGGAAAAGCAAAGGGGAAGAGAGAAGGCAGAAAAAGAACAGAAGCAAAATACAGGGCTCTGCATCTCGCATCCCATGCAAGGATGCACAGTCCTGATACAGCACTGGGGATAGGGCTCAGCCCATGCTGTCCACCGCAAGAGACGATGGCCAACAGCGAGTCATGACCAAGGACTTAACCGGGAACCATAGAAGACATTACCCAGTACCCTGCCTTTGCCAGAGGTGTCAGCAGCATCGGACCTACTGAACAGGACACCTACATGCAGTCCTTCTCCGTGTCCTTAGAGCTGTCAGTGCAGTAGAAAAACTTCCCCTTGAAGAGCTGAACAGCAATGACAGCAAAGATGAACATGAAGAGCTTGTAGACGATGAGGATATTGAAGACATTCTTGAGAGAGGTCACGACGCAGTCAAAGACAGCCTGAAGGAGAGGGCATAACTCACCTTGGGGAACTCACAGTCTTAGCAAAGCACATGACCAAAACCAGACTATCATGTGGAAAAACATCTTCCACTTGTGGTGGGGAAAGGAGAAAAGAGCGGGACTTCTTGCAGGCAAACAGCTGTTTCAATAACAAGTTTAATACCCAGAGTACCCCCAGCACACCACACAGCCCCTGAGATAGAAGCAGAGATGAATATTTACATCCTCAATGTTCTCTGCAACCAGGGTAGCAGACAGGGATTATCCCAATTATGCAATTAGCAGAACTGTAGACCAATTAGTAAACACTTCATTGTTTCACATCATCCCACATAACAAGACAGAGCAAATACCTCTGCCTACAATAGCAGCACCTCCCCAGGCTCTGCTCTCAGGCCTAGTTCTCACAGAACTGTAAGAGAGAGGAATATCCTTATCCCTGCTTTGTGGGGGAAACAGATGTGTCCAGAAATGAACTGACACGGACGGAATCCATCCACTGATCAGGAAGAAAAGCTGGGGTCAAAACCCAAGTCTCTGGGGTGCCACCCTGGGTCTCATGCATCAGCCAAATAACCTATTGTAAGGAAAAAGATAGGGCTTCTTTTGTCTCTTTCTCCTTTCTGGCTCTATACCCCATCAGCTAAGGTAGAGAAATCCATAATCCTACTGTTGCTGCATAAAAAAAAAGCCTCTATTGAGATGGGAAATCCTCCTCCATTGCAACACCATGACAGCACAGCACACACAATCCCAAGGTATTTGCAAGATGCTTTGGAAAGAGATTTGAGCTATCCCAAAGCCAGGGCAGCTTATTTTATCAGGAGAGTACCTGGCCTTTGCTGCCTCATGTCCACTCCAGCCCCAGTTTCCCTGGCAAAAGAACTAACTCTGACATCTTGCAGGGATACAGTCTTGCTTTTAATAACTCATTGTACCTTCAGATATGAAGCAGCCTGAAGGATGTTGTGTTTGAAAATGGGGCTCTGAAAACAGCAAATGCTTTGAAAACTACTTGCTCATTGCTCATGAGCAAATCAATGTGAATGGTCCCTGCACCCACAGGTCGACGCTGAAGAAGACAGATGTAAGACAGGAGATGGGGACCATTACCTTCAGCTTGGGCAGTCGCTTGATGGTTTTCAAGGGCCTCAAGACTCGTAGCACACGGAGAGACTTGATGGTCTTGATATCCCGGCCCTTGTTGGTCCTATCACATCAGAGGGAGGCACATGCACCCAAAAATGAAACAGAGAGACAATAATCTTGCAGCCCCAGGGCTAGATTGTCTAGGGGCTTCAATTGATGACAACTCCCTCCCTCCCTCCCCCCCCCCCCGTCACTTCCTGCACACACAAGGATGGGAACAGGGGGCCCACAAACGTGCAACTGCTGTGTGCTCAGCCCATCTAGATGAGTCTCCTTCAGCACACACACTGACAGCTGGCAGAGATGAAAAAGAAAGAATTCTCTCCTCCTCAGGATTAAAACCTTTCCCTTTTGCTGGGGAGCAGCAATCTTAATAAATTCCCTCGTTGTGGGATGCAGTGTGATGCCCGGTGACCTTTCCCTGAGCAAGGGCATGCTGCCCCTCCCCATGTCACTAAGCCATGCCGCTCAACAGGGCAAGGAGCTTTGCTTCCTGCTGCACGTATGTGCCATTTGCACATGCAGCTTGCAGAAGGCCACCAACATTGCAAACTGTTTTCTACCATTACTACTGGTTGCAAGAAATTCATAACAAAATGAGGGAAATGCACTCAACGGGTTGTACATGCAGGTGTCTCACAATATCTTTTCCATCCCAGTTTAAACTTGAGATTCATGGTCCTTACTTTCAGGTTAGAGTGCTATGGAAGCACCTGCTCTGTGCTTGGTTTGTTCACACAAATGCTGTCACTTACAGCTTTCTGCCTTATTCCATTAGTACTACATAACATGGTCAACCTGGTCTTCTATCTCACACCCATATAATACCTCAGCCCTCTCCTCCCTCTCCAGAGGCTGTACTTGCCTCCACCCAAGTCAGCTGAGGCAGAGCTTACCAGTAGAATTATTTAGAAAAGCCTCCTCGTGACCCTACTTTATTGAATAGGGTGATTAATCTGAACCACAATACCATTTTTAAACCTTGCCTTTTAACCAAAGCCCATGGGCTGGAACCCAGGATGGAACAGAGAGGCCCTGGTGAAGGTGGCACAGTTTAGATCCACCAGGCACCCTCAAAAAACATTGATGAAATGACTTACAACAACAGATGCTCCAAATTACACAGCTCCTTTGCAAAGGCTAATGCAACAAGGAGCACAATATTGGGCATAATCATGAAGAGATGTAAACAAACCACTAATTCATAGTCCTCCCTAGGAGCACAGTCTCACAAATGCACAGGAAGCAATTGCACAAACAGGACTTGCTTTGCACCTTGTGGCTCCTGTTCTGCTTAGTATCACAGCCTGGGTAAATGCCTGGGGCATCTGACTCAGGGCTGGGGCAAGGATTTGAGTGCTCAGCTGGTGCAAGCTGCCATCAAGGACAATTAAACTGCAGTGCTTTAGATCTGACAAGGAGGGACCTCTTCAGACTTCAGAAAACCTCCTGTGGAATTGCTTGCTTTGTCTACAACCAAGACTGAGTTCTCCCCAGACCCCTGCACTTGGCATGAACCACATCCCATCTGTCCCTTCAGTGCTGGCAAAGCCCCCACTAGGGCAGAGCACTCTGCTCTGAGAGGGACACCACTTTTCCTGTGCCCTGCTGCCCTGGGTGTGCTTCACACCATCTATGTGTACTGAACAGACATTGAAATCTGCAATGAAAACACCTTCCTCTGAAGGCAAGGAATTGCATTGCTTGCAAAGAAAATCCCACCTGCACTTTCCCAGAACACATCATCTTTAATGCATCCGAGGGCAATACAGAGATGCATGCAGAGTAAAGTATTCCAGCCTCTGCAAATGCATCCCAGGTTTCAGACAGACACCCGCCTGCACCCATCTCCCCAGGGCAGCACCCCTCAGTAATGTGACTGGCATAGTTACCCCAAAGCATTCCTGTCGGCGATCCAGACCAGCAGCCACGAAACAGCACCAGCAGAGAGAAGGAAAAAGAAAGAGGAGAGGAAGAAGGTAAGAAAACCGTAAGGGGAGCTGCAGGGGGATTACTAGAGTCTCTCAGGTGCAGGGACCCTGTAGCAGCCCTCGCTGCCCCATGCCTAGGTTGAAAGGCACGATGAGTAGACCACCCTGTGTCCTCCAGGATGGGGCTTATATGCAAGGAGGGACTCATCCAGCAAGCCAGGAGCCCCCTGCCCACCCTGCTGGAGATTTTAGGAAAGGGGCACATAGTGAAACCCCTGCTGCGAGAGGAACTGCAGAGAGTGGGACAGTTAGAAACAGCAGACAGGCACATGGCGCTCCTCAGCCAGGAGCTGGGGAGAGACCTTGAGACTTGGCCCCAGTCAGCCAAAGGCAGGTGGGAACCTACCTGCAAGGCCACAGTAGTTCCCATCCTAACAGGCTAATTCTGCTTAATCACCTCCATCAAGAAATCCACTGATTAAGAGCCTGAGTTGCAGTGCAGGATCTCCTACAACCCAGCAGGACATTCGCTTGGACAAGCGAAGGTGGTCTACAAGGTCCCTTGCTGAAACAAACCTCTGTCCTTTGCTTGATCTGAGTCCCTGCCACATGCACACAGTGCTCAGCACTGTCAGTAAAGCCTAAGAAATAAAATGTTTCTTAAAAACCATAAAAGTAACCCAAAATTCTGGCTGTATGTTAGTGAAACAGATGGACGGTGTGTTGAAAATGTGACAGTTCAACTTTGTAGCACTTCCATGATGTGATACCAGACCACTGTTCTGATCAGCCTCACCCCAGATTATTCTGCAGTAGGCACAGGTCATTTCTGCTTCCAGACACTGATGCTGACAGGCACAAGGAATTGCTGCTTGGCAAGGAAAGAAGCCCCTTTGCTGGGTACCTCTGTGTGAAGAAACACCTGCCCTTGCTCACCAGGTAAGAAAATGAGGGCTACACACTGATTACCCAGCCTTTTCACCACTCAGCCTTTCCCACTGCTGCAACCCCACAGGCAGAGGCATCACGGCCTCTTGGCAGCTCTGCAAAGGTGCAAGTGAGAACCGCTCCTTTGCGCAATGCCCATTAGACAGTGCCATGGGAGGCAAAAGTGAGCAGGGTCTTTAGTTATGGTTCTGGTTATTTCAACTAATTTAATTTTAACTCTTTGGAGATTTATGGTTTTATATTGGGCTTTTTATTTAGGCTGTGTTTGGATTGACGTATTAGCTTTCCACATGGAGAGCTACAGATGAGCCAAGACAGTCTATTACTCAGGATGTATGGGCTCCGAGGAGGCAGTGGACAAGCCACTATAGCACATGAAGAGATGGCTTTACAGAAGGACATCTGCTTATTGGTGATTTTGATGTGGCATCAATAGCCAGCAGATGATGGTGGTGCCACTGGACGAACTCAGAGACCTCCTGCTCTGCCCACAGCTACCCAGGAGCCCTGTGGGAAAACCAAACTGCAGAGGGAGGCAAGAGGGGCAGAAAACACAAACAGCACGGCATGTCCCATCAACACTTCTACCAGGAAGTACGTCTACCCTGTCAACAGCTGCTCTCAACCACACAATCACTGCAGCCACCCTGTGGGCATTGCTTTGCCCACTGTGCTGGGTGGAGGTAAGGAGAGGGAGAGAAAGGACACTTACAGCCACCCCAGCCCCGTGTCAAACTGCTCATGGGGGGAGAAGAAAGGGAGATGATTCAAACATCACCACCAGTTCTCCTCTTGAAACCAAGAAGGCAGGAAAAGAAGGAGGGAGGGAGAGCAATGGGTTGGGACACATATCTGGAGAACATCCTGCAGCTCTGCAGCAGTGATGGGCTGCCAAGGGGAGAGGCAGGTGTTCTTACAAATGCTTTATAATGTATAAACCCATCAGAAATCACTGCAGCTCCTTTGTTCCCCTCACCCCCAAAGCCATGAGATCATCTCCAGCAGGAGCCACCATCGGATGTGGGGGAGGGGGACAATACTGCAGGTTTACATTATAAAGAGCCCTCATCCCTGACACAAGCAACCCGGTGTCTACCTGCTGCAAGAGTGAGCAGGTGACATAGATTCTTGCTGCATTGCCACAGCCAGTGGTGGTGCTCACCCTCAAGAATTCAGCTGCCCTGTGCCCAAAGGGTCCTGTCCTTCCCTTGGGAGGCTGGGAACAGGTGGCAAGCAGAGCTGGAAAGGGCACAGCAGCTTTCCCACATGCTCAGCACTGGCACATGGGGATCCTGCCAGCTCCAGCAGCCACTCCAGGAATCGTGTTACCTTTGTGGGGTGGGGGCAAGAGAACAGTAAGCTAACAGATTATGGTACTGTTAGCAGTGGTAAGGACATCCCATCCACTCAGGAGCAGGCTGAGCCATCAATCTATAGATCTCCAGCCATCAGAAAGTCTTGATGGAAGACTTTCCTTCCAGCCTTGGAGGGAAAAGGCTCCCTTGTCCTCCTGAAATTCCCCAAACCACCCAGGGCATCTTAAGGCTGCTGACGCCCTCGGGCCCACCCCCCCACCCCCACCTCGGCATACTTTGAGGGGCTGTCCTGGCTAAAGAAGGCTCAGCCAGGCCCTGGAGATGCTCAATCCACCCTGGGTGGCTCAGAGCAATATCCCCAGCTGTCAAACCTGCCCCATGGTCTTTCTCCATGCCAGGGTCTGCTGTCAGCCCCCCTTCTTTGCCCAGGGGCTGGTTCATACCTGTGCTGAGCAAGCTGAATTCTCCCATCCGCCTCCCAAGGAGAGAGCAGTGGCAGAAAGCATCAGGAGAGGAAGTAGGTGAGAAGGATGAGGAAGGCAAAAACAGTGAACCAGGGAAGGTGCAAGTGAGTAAGAGCAAAGGAAAGGAGCTGCCACCTGGCCTTGGGTGAGAAGGGAGGGATGGATTATGGGCTGTAATCCATCGAGTGACCTCAGAGGTTGGACTCAGCCACCCCAAGGGCCTCACACAGTACCTGAGCTGTGGACAAGGATAGGGCTCCGATCCCTCTCACCAGCACTAACATCACCGGCAGTCAGTGTCAAAAGCACAAAGAGAGAACAACAGCATGACAAATGAGCGTGAGCCTCTCCTCTCCCTCCACAGGCACTAATGAGGAACCACAGCCCTGGGGATGAGAGGGTGCCCCTTATCTGCAAGCATCACACTGGCACCCACTCTCTGGGTACCAGCATATTCTCCCTGCACACTCACTGTACCTCCTGTCCAATTAGCAGCACAGAGGGAGGCAGAGCAGCACGAGACTCATCCCTGGATGCTCCTGCCCTCCATGGCATAGGCACCAGAGACATTAAGCCACCCTGCAGAGGAAGACCTGCAGGTGCCACAGGCTTGGTACTGGTGCCAAACTGCAAGGCGATGCTCAGTGGGGACATACTACAGAGCAAGCACTCTGCCCTCACTATGATGCTGCAAAGGATGCAGGCACAAACCCCAGTAGCTGCATCCCCATCCCTGCAGGTATCCAGGGCAATGCTCTATCCCTAGAGCATAGGAAAAGCCACCAGCTACGTGGGACCATTTCCAGCACAAACATCTTTGGAGGGGAGCTCCACCTGACAGGCTGCTTTCTTTGTGCACCCCACGATGCATACCAGGTGTGTAACTTTGCCACCCTCAGGTCTTTTTCCCTCTCTAACAGTCTCTTCTGCACTCTTTCAAGTCCACTTTCACCACCAACCTCCTAGCATCTCCACCTTGCCTTGCCTTGATCCCTGCCTGCTTGCTCACCAGCATTTGACAAACAAAGAGAAATACATCTCCGGAGCAGCCACGCACCACTGCCAGAAGCCGTCCCACAAGCAGAACAGAAGGGTGCAGAGGAATAAAAACAAAAATCAGGGTCTAGCAGCTGTAATACACTGCTGCATCTTCCTCCCATCCCAGCCAAGGGAAGGCAGGGAGCCGCTCAACGACAACAGCCACTTACGCTAAGGCAAAAGCCACCAGTGCTCCCACCACAACGATGAAATCCAGGATGTTCCAGAGGTCTCGGAAGTAGGAGCCATCCTGCAGGATCAAGCCCTGATCAATCATCTGGAGAGAAGAAACGTTGAGAAAAACAGGCAGGGAATAAGCAGCTTGGCCATGAGGTGGAAGCTTCTGCAGGCAGGACATGCTGGGGGACAGGGACATTGATGGGGAGCAGCAGACCTGTCCTCCCTGTACCTTGGGTATATATCAAAGAGCATCATATTCTGTAGGAGCCTGGAGGCTGATAAGCCAGCACTCTTGACTCCCACTGCTAAGTACCAGGCTTTAGGTCCCCATCACAGAATCAACTAGGTTGGAAAAGACCTTTAAGATCATCAACCCCACCACTAAGCCATGTCACTGAGGGCAAACTGATCTCCACTCAAAATCCCCCCTTATGGTTGCCCCTCATAATCTCCACTCACAGCCACCTCTCATCTGCCCCCTCATAGTGGTCCACACTATATAGCTGCTGCCCCTACCCCTCATGGCCATCCCTCAACCCATGGCTGCCCCTGCTCTCCCCTCATGAATGTCCCTCACGGCCACCGCTGCTCTCCTCTCATGATCTCCCCACATGGCTGCCCCTCCTCTCCCCTCCTGGCCTCCCCTCACCCCTCACAGCAGCCCCTGCTCCCCTCACCCTCACGGCTGCCCCTGTTTTCCCTTCATGATTTCCCCTCACCCCTCATGGCCACCTCTGCTCTCTCTTCAGGATCTTCTCTCACCCCTCACAGCTGCACCGGCTTCCCCCTCATGATCTCCCCTCATGGCTGCCCTTGCTCTCCCCTCATGATCTCCTCTCACCCACATGGCTGCCCCAGCTTCCCCCTCATGATCTTCCCTCATGGCTGCCCTTGCTCTCCCCTCATGATCTCCCCTCACCCACATGGCTGCCCCGGCTTCCCCCTCATGATCTTCCCTCACGGCTGCCCTTGCTCTCCCCTCATGATCTCTTCTCACCCACATGGCTGCCCCGGCTTCCCCCTCATGATCTTCCCTCATGGCTGCCCTTGCTCTCCCCTCATGATCTCCCCTCACCCACATGGCTGCCCCTGCTCTCCCCTCATGATCTCCCCTCACGGCTGCCCCTGCATTCCCCTCCCTATCTCCCCTCATCCCTCATGGCTGCCTCTCCTGTCCCCTCACCATCTCCCCTTTCCCCTTCCCACTGACCAACACCCCTGACATGCCTCGGCAGCAGCGGGAACGGTGCGTGCACTCCCCAAGCACTCACTGTGACTCAAAAAACATCCAAATTTAGCACCAGAACTTAAAACTGAGCTATTTCCCACTTGCTGCATGGACACTGCAGGACTCGGCACCTCCAGCACAGCCAGCCTGCAAGGGCTCTTACCTTGATAACCATCTCGAAAGTGAAAACGCCGGTGAAGACATAGTCAAAATACCTCAGGACCTGCAGAGAGACGGCACAGGTGCTCTGCAGCCACTGCCAGGCAAACGGGCTCGCTTGTGCCCACCCAGAACCCACCACCACCCGCATCAGGGCCCGCCCGGCTCAGGTGCAGATGGAGGGTTGGCTTGCTTGCCCCAACACAGCCTGTTCCCTAGGAGTTCGGGACAGCCATAAATCCAGCCTGTGTAGGTGGGTGTGAAACATTTCCTGTGCACGGTGCAAGCAGCTCTGAAATCTGTGAGCCAAAATCATGCTCGCCTATACCAGTGCCTGTGCACATCAGCATCTCCCCACTTTAAGCTACTTTACTGTCAACAAGATGCCCTGGTCTGCTCCCCAGGCTCCAAACCCCAAGTGTGGGAGACTGAGAGCAATTTTCAGGGTTTATAAAGGAAGGTGATGGGAAAGAAGTCAGACCCCACGGCACTGTGCAGGTGCTGCCACTGGCTCCCCATGATCCATGTCCACATGTGCCCCACCATGGAAGCTAAAATCCTAACAGCACCTCTGCCTGCATTGCCTGCATGATAAGGGGAATGGGGGACGTTTGCAATCACTTTGTTGCGGTCGGAGTTGGTGAGGACAGGATCCTCTGCTGCAAGGGCAATGCTGCTGGCGGCGATCACCAGGAGGATGCACATCTCGAAGTAGCGCAAGTTCACGATGTAGTGGCAAGCCCTCCGCACCCTGCAGGGAGACAGCCTGACTTGTGAGCCTCTGGCATGGCCCACGCGCAAAATCCACCCCACACCACTGGCTTTCAGGGCAGGACAGGGCAGCAAAGTCTAAGGAGAACAACAAGGGAGCCCAGGAGTACCTTGGGCTTGATGACCTCTTTGCTTAGCTGTCCCAGCCCCCCAGGCAACCCATGCCCAGCCAGCGACAGTCCCCAGAAACTGGGGTGCTTACTCTTCCAGGCTGTTGGAGCTGGGCAAGAGCCACAGGGGAGCAGAAAACTGCAGGTAAATGTAAAAAGCATTGAATAAAAATCACACCTAACAATCAGCAGTTGGGAGAGAAAACTAGGAGCATGGCTGGCACAGAGGGAGAGCACTGGCAGGGCTTGGGGAGCACCATGGCTGACTGGGAGCTATTCAACCCCCTTTCCAAGGGGATTCCCTGCTTTCAGTGATGTCTAGGGGCCTTCCCCTTGCAGACCTCCCTGCCCACAGGCTCCTACAGTCCAAAAAAATGTCTCACGGGTTGGTGGTGCTGAAGATGAACATGGAGCTGTGTGGCACCATTGCTTTGCCCGTCTCACTTTTGTCCTTCTTCCGCTTCTTCTTCTCCATCTCCTCCTCATCCTCTTTGGTCTCAGCCTCCTTTAAGGGGCTGGCTTCACCATCTGTCTTGTTGCTAACTGCAAGAAAGCGAGAGCCTTTGCCCAGCCTTGTACCGAGACAGCACCCTGGGATGTCACTGCCACCTGGGCACATGCAACCCCCTGGTTTCTGCTTTGTGTCCCCATGCCATTAGGGGAAGAGCAACCAGAAGGAAAGAAAAGACACAAGCTGCTAGGATGAAGCAGATGAAAGGGGTTTTAACAAGGCCAGCTTTCATAATGCTGTTTAATTAATAGCACTGTTTAAAGCACTCACCTTGACAGCAAGGTTGCTGTTAGGAGTTTGAGTGGCAGGAAGCTGGGTGGAGGCTGTGAATGTGTTAGGAGAAACAGGGGATGCACGTGCTTTGCACAGGCAGAAAGGAAGAGGGAAGGAGGGATCAGGCAAAGGGGTGGGTAACAAGGAGGCAAGAAAAGGAGAAGCTCCCCAGCAGATGGTGGCACATCAGCATTGTGCTGCAAAACTGGGGTGCTGGAGGGAGGTGCTGCAAGAAGCAGCAAGGAAAGCTCCCCAGTTGATGGATGTGGATAGGAAAAGCCATGCAAACAGCTTTCCACCCCTGCAGGGTCCCTGAAGGGTGGGACAGGGACTCAGGAAAGAGAGATGGGTCCTCACTCTGTACCACAGTGGAGTCGTGGACATCGATCATGATGGCGGTGCTCTCCGTGGCTTTCTCAGTGGTGGGGGTGATGGAGGAGAGGTCGGGCTCACTCCGGCTGACAGTGCGGCTGGCCTCCAGCAGTGCTTGCTCACTGGTGTCTGGGCTGCTGCAGTCCTGCTCCATCAGGCTGCCCATCTTCCCCCGGGAGGGCTCAGGTGCCACCTGCAGGGGGGCCCCCGCCTCAGTGGTCCCAACTAGCTTGGCATCACTGGCAGAGACTCCGTTTGTCCTGCAGAATGGATGTGGGAGAAAAAGAGGTGCACAAAGGTAAGGGGAGAAGATAAGAAGCTGTAGGAACCAAAAGATGCCCTCCCTGGGTACCAACCTGAAGAGCTCCCCGCTTGCTGCTGTCTCCCCCTGAATCAGCGCTTCTGCTGCAACCATGTCCCTGCATTGGTCCCCATCCTGCACCCCTTCCGTGGGGCTGACCTCCTCCAGACTCATCTCCTGGCTGGCTGAGCGGCTCCCCAGGGTGCCAGCTGGCTCCTTCCCTTCCATCCGGGCTCTGCGGTGCCGGCTGCGCCGCTGACTCTGCCTCATCCTGGCCCTGTCCTCGATGCCACTTCCTGCCCCGTCCTGCTCGCCCAGCTCACAGTTCCCATGGCATGATTTCTGGTGCCAGAGCTCCTTGTCTCGCTTGGCCCGGGGCGATGGGCTCCTCCTGTCCTCACCACCGCAGGGGTTGGCTCCTGGGGCCGGCTGCTCAGGTGCCTCAACCAGCGGCCGCTCAGCCTTGCCGCTCTGCTCCTCGGCACGTTTCTCCAGGGTGATGCCATCCCCTGGTTTCTTCCTACGGAAGATGCTGGCATGGGGGTTGATGAGAGGTGGCTCATCCTTGTTGATGCCCTCCTGGCTGGACATCTGCATGTGCCGGCGCAGCTGGCTGGTGCGCTGCTCCCACACTGACATGTGGTGCCGCCGGCGACGCTCCCTCCTACAATAGGACAGTTAGAGATTGGCGGCCCAGCCACCCCGTGGTGAAGTACGCACCCTGGACTCAATTTGGGAATCCCAGGGAGAAGAAAATGCCATCCCCAGGGCTATGGGCTGGATTTCTGCTTCATCCTCAGTTCTCCAGCATTCTCTTGGTGCTGGTAAGGGCTGAAAACAGGGCTGAGACTGAACTTCTGTCCCTTCAGAAGGCATTAGGCTGATGGAGGACCAGTCCTCGTAGCCCCACAGCTGGCCTGAAGCTTTCAAACAGCGTGCCCAGCTTGCTGGAGCACCCAAAATCCTGGCTTGCCCTATCCCAGCCATGCAATGATCACCTTCCTCTTGCATGATTGCCTAGGGACACCTTCCTAAATATGGGCAATGCCCTCTCACTGCAGCTGGGGATTCCCTCCTTGCACTGGGGATGTCTCTGCGTCATCAGCTTCTTGGAGCTGGGCTCTTTTTCAGAGCAGCACTGTCCTAACGGTACAGATGATGTTGCAGGGATTCTGACACGAAAGCCAACTTGCCAGCAAGAGTGGCAGTCCTGATGGAATCAGGGCAGTAAGCAGGGAAAAGATGCCAGGTACAAGACCTGCCTTTCTAAGGTCAATGGGAGATGTCCTCCTCACCGAGTGCAGGAGGTTCCCTCTCTCCCTGTGCTCAGTTACACCTGGCCAGGACAGCCTCTCACTCAGCACATCCCAGGTAGAAAGCCTGCCCCAAGGCTTGGGGAGGAGCAGTTTTAGCTGTCTGCAGGGGAAGGGGCTGTACTGGGCTTCTCTGTGTTCCTGCAGCTCTGTTCTAGGGAGGCCTGAGCTATGCGATGAAACTTGCAGAGCTGTAAATATGCACACAAACACCCTAGAGAAGACAGACAGGCCCTTCCCAACACACCTAGGCACACAGAAACACCCATGAGCACACACATGTACATACACTGCTCACCCCCCGAGCATGCGTGACTGCACATCCACGGGTAGCCGCACGCACCGACACACGTACTGCATGGCACACACATGAGGAGGTTCGGCACACACAAAACCAAGGCTGCACGCACAAATCCGTGAATGCACACGCGCACACACACGAACAGGGGTGCAAAGGAGCACACTGAATACAGGCACACACACGTGTCCCCCCCGCCGAGGCGGCCAGCGGGGAGCAGTGTGCGCTCCAGCCCCGCGGACGCACACGAAGCACAGGAGCCACAGACGACACGCGCCCCCCCGGCCCACATACAGGTGGCTGCTGCGTGGCTCCCACATCGACATGTGGTGTCTCCTTCGCCTGTCTCTTCTGGGGAGGAAAAACAAATGGGTTCAATTCCCTCTTCACCCCTCCTTTGACTCGTGTGGGCAACACAGAGAGGTGTCCCCCCGCGCCGGGCAGCCGGCATCTCTTTGCCTATCGGCCGCCGGCTGCTGGGATGCCAGAGCGCAGCAGCCAGCAGTGAACCCCCTGCACTTAACGTGCTCACACACCGGCAACGAGCTGCCTGCAGGGCTTGCCGGCACTCACACTCACGTGCTGCGATCCATTCCGTGGGGGCCACGGACCCTTCCCCACGCCAGCCAGCTGTGCAGCTGTGGCACGGGCACTGCAGTGCAGGCTGCAGCCTCTCAGAAGCCCCGGTACATCCTTGGATATTTAACTCTTTCAAACTGCTCCAAATTCACTTCTCCCGAGCAACACATGGCAATTTGAAAGAGGAAGCAATGCATCAGGCCAGCCCCGAGCTGCTCAGAGCCACTGCCGTGGGTTGATGCTGTCCTGAGACTGCCGAGGGGAACGTGAAGCTCCCCAGGAAAAGCAATGCACGAGCCCAGGGCTGAGATGCCACAGAGCCCATCACCTAAGCAGCCCCAATGCAGAGAACTGTAATGGGGCTCTTGGTGCCCTTCAATCCCACTGATTTGAGGCAGCTGGGGCAGTTGAAAGCTTTGTCCTTCGTATCAGCTCAGAAGAGATTCAAATATGCACAGCTCCAAGCAAACAGCATTGTTTGAGTATATGCAAACGTGCATGCAGTGATTTACAGGTTTTGCTTTTTGCAAATGCTATGTGTGTGTGCAGGACATGCAAACAAATATATTCTCCAACCACATGGGACCAAGCACCTGCGTGCACGCAGAGTTCATGCAGGCGAGATGGCGGTCATCTCGCTGCCGTCCTGCGGTACCCTCAGCCCGCAGGTGAGTCACACTGGTGATTGCCTTCTTACGGCAATGTGCATGGGAACAGCCTGGTGCCACGCTCAAGGCAGAGAGCGAGTTGCAGGCACCCGAAGCAAGTGGCCGCGCCTTCAAATGCATCCACGCACCATGTTAGGCACCAACACATGACAGCATCCGCATGCGTCCATCTGGCCACCCACTCGTCAAACAGCTCCGAGCCATCTGCACCAACGGCACCCATGTACAAATACAATACTCTGATCGGCACCACAGCTACCCACGCCAACCTGGCCACGTGGGAGCACTCATCCCTGAGTGCCACCGGACCTCTCTGCAGGCAGGAACGCGTGTACCAAACCTGCCTGTGCCGGGTACCCACATAGAAATGAAGCCATCTGTGTCTGCACACACCCAAACACAGATACCAGCTTGGCTTCATCACTCTGAGTTTCCAACAGCCCTTCAGTACCAGCTCTGCTCTGGCTTGTCCCTTCTTGTGATGTCCCCACCATCCTTCCTTGGCTGCTGGCATCAGTGTAGCACCGACAAAAGCACATCAGACCTGATGCTGGAGATAGTTGCCCCCTGTGGCATCACACTCCCTTCCCTGCCCCTGATAGTATCCATCCTGATGAAGGGGAGGAGCTGGAAAACAGATCTGTGAATATCAATACCTCCCATTCCAATGTCACTAGAACAACAAAAGGTTAAAGAGATATGTTTCCTAATCAGCTGTATCTGGCAATGTCTAGAAAATGCTAGCAGGGATGTGCAGTGTGTGTAAGTCCTTTAGTGCCCTCATATATTCCATCTCCACTTCCTCCTCTCTCCTATCTGTCCATTCTCCAGCCTCTTCTGCATCCTAAAGCCTTCTATTCCCTTGCTTTACCTGACATGTTCCCACTGGTAGCCAGAGACAGTCACAACACACAAACTCTGCCATCTCTCCTGTAACCCTCCCAGTACTTGGTCAGGAACAGATTTTAATGAACATCCCATTCCCAAAACAGCAATATCTGCAGCTGTCTGGGAGACCAGGCAGAGCTTACAAGTACCCCAGCTCCTGCTGCCCCTAAAACCATGAGTGATGTATGCAGGATGGGGACCATTACATGCCACTACAGACGAGCCAGGGATGGGGCTGTTCCCAATGCTGCCTCCAACCCCTCCCAACTGCTTGCCTGAAGACAGCAGTTTCTCTTGATAAATCTGCAAGCGATTCTGCCGTGTACAAGCCTGGCTGAGTTTCAGAGCATAACGAAATCTAAAATTCCCTGGGAAGGGATTCTATTTTAAAAAAGGGGAAAAAAAAAAATCCTTTCAGCTGTACTGAAATGTACTGTTTTGGGAAACAACTCAAAACGCCTTGTTCCAATGTTGACTTGGAAAGTTTTATGTGATTTAGACCATATGACACTGCAAAATAAAGGGAAAAAATGTGTCTAGGAAGGAAAAAACATAATTTTCTTCTGCTGAAACACAGATACAAGGCTTCTTAACACCATGCTGGGGGTTTATGTGGCTTGGGGCTATGTTTTCCTGCCCAGATCAAATTTCTGTGTGATCAGACCTGGTTTCACAAACCTGCTCCATCTCTCATTACTACTCACATTCACTACCAGGGAAAGAGCCCGAGGGAGATTTGTGACACTGCTGCTCCCTTCTCCCCCAGCCCTGGCTGCTCTCTTGCAGCTCTGCCATGAAGAAAGAGGAACAAATATCACCACCACCACCACCCCCCCCCCCAAGAAAAACTTGAGATACATTCCTCCTCCCCAACCTTCTTTCCCACCCCTAGAAGCAGCCCTGAGTGTTTGAACTGTACATCTGGGGCAGAAAGCCTCTTTTAGCATATTTCTGCCACGCTCAAGCACTGAGGTGGGCAATTCCAGGTCCTATCGGGTGACCTGGACCCCACTCTGACAGCTCTCCGAAGCCACTGCTGCTCACAGGGAGCATGCTCCTAGATCTTCATCCATCCTCAGGAAGACACCCTGTGCAGGGACCTCTTTTTCTTGTGGCAGCTCCCACATCCAGCCATGTCAGGCTCCACTTCAGCTCTCCACTGGGAAGAGAAGCCCAGCTGGGCTTGCAGGGGCACTGGAGTAATATCAGGGGTTGGGGGTGTCACTCACTCGATAGCAGGCATGTTTGGAGCAGACATGGGGCTGACTTCTTTGGCTTTCTGAAGGGCGTGCTTCTGGTTAAATGCCTCCTCTTCCTCCTGCTCATCCTGCAGAGGAAAGAGGGGATGTGTTTAGTTGGATGCTAGGGTTTCAAGGGAAAGTACAGCCATTGGAGGCAGCAAAGGATGCACAGGTCTACCTTAGATACCAAGGCCTGCAGAAAGGGTACCTGTACTTCCAGAGGCAGCCTTTAACTTGTGCTATGGGGACACAATTTCCCCACTACACCAGATCTTACTGAAGGCATCAGCACTACTGAAACAAGTGAACCCGGCCCATTCCATACAAGAGCCAGGCTGTGCATACTAGCACAGCCCCAGGCAGCATAGACTAGCTCAGCCCTGCCTTCTTCATGGCCACAGGGGTGAGATAGTCATTCTCCAATGGAGTGGAAGGCAAGGCATCCACAAATGACCCCAGCAGAGACTCTATTGCTTTAATTAATATGGTTGTGTCTCTGGAGCAAAAAATGTCATTAGGACTCATTAGCACACATTCAGCCTTTTCAAAAGCTCAGTGCTCTCTTAACTGATGCTTCTGGTACACCATGGGGGTCCCCCAGCCCTCTCACCACAACACAGCCAGCAGGCCCCAGAAGTGCCACCTGCACCCACCGTAGGAGGGCAGGGACCCACAAAAACCCCTCCAGCCAACAAGCACCATGCCCTGTTTTGTTTGCTGATAACAGGTTAAATTTACACTAGTGTGGAAACTTCTCAGTGAGCCTTAGGGACCTGAGTAATAGGCATGGGCTCTGCAAAAAAACAGGCACCACAGGATCCCTGGTTCACTCCAAAGAGCAGCAATGACCCTTGCAGCTCTCACCTACTCACCATTATCCAGATGGTGCCCCAACACTTTAGCATTCCCAAAATATTTCCCAGCATGGTCATAAAAAACCAGCTAAGCCCAAAAACCTTCTCAAGCACCATCCCAAATAGCATCCTAAATCATGTTCACTGCCCTGTGGGTAGATGGGAAATAAATACTGGCACTACTGGAAAGCCTTCCCACTCCACATCTCCAGAGCACTCTGGCAAATAACCATCCCTGCATCAGACCCCATCAGACAGATGAGTTATTGTGGTCTGACCGGAGGCAAACAAAACTGGGGAGCTTAATGGGGAAATAGTTAAGCCACGCTTGATGGGAAATACGGGTGCTCCTGGAGATATTAGAAGGTTTAAGCACTTTCCTAAATCAAAGTCTAAATGGCTTTGCCCAATGACATGGATTTGTATTTCAGGGGAGCACCCTAAGTAAGTTCCTGAAGAAAGAACTTCCATTTCCAATTTGACCCAACCTCTTTTCAAGGTAGGCTGAGCTAAGGGACTTGCTGGCCCTGGCTCTAGAGTGAGGACAGTCACAGGCACTGTTCCTGGTGCCTTTCCTGCTGGCCCTGTCCTTCACTTTCTGCACAAGAGAAATAAACAGAGCAACAGGAACATACCTTGGTGAGCTCCTGAGCGTTGGCCAGATTGTCCACTGCAATGGCCAAGAACACGTTCAGCAGAGTATCTGTGAGCAGCTAAGGATGCACAAGCCCTGTGTTAAGGATGTGCGTGCCTGCAGCCACCAAATGAGTGGCCCTCATGGCTCCTCACCAGCTGGTGAGGAGCAGCCAAAGGGACAAACTCCTCACCCATCCCCTATATATAGCCCTCACTGCACCTCCAGACAGCTCCTTCTCTGCATCTGGGATACACAGGGCTGCTGCACATATGATGTGTCTCCCTCAATTGAGAAAGCAGGAAGGAGCAGTATGTGGGGAAGGGGATGCCCCCAGAGTGATGAGACAGGGTTGTCTCCACTGAAAGCACAGCAGCCAGGTGGATACAGTTTCCAAACAAGGTGAGGACGATGAAATAGATGGAGGACCACATGCCTGAGCGAACACCTCCCTGGGAGCGGATGCCATTGTACATCACCTCGTTCCAGTCCTCACCCGTCAGTATCTGCAGAAAAGCAAACCAGCAGCTCTGTCATCCACACCTTCCCATCACCTGGACAGTCCCCTTGATCTATTCCACCAACATGCAGAAGCCAAGTACAAAGGCCTTGTGCAGCGGATAACTGACTACTGCAGCTGCAGCACTTTAGGGAGATGATGCTGGACACTGCTGAGGATTTAAGTCTCCTCAGGAAGTTTCCATCTCTTCCCATTTAATTAGTTATACAAGAGGAGAGGGGGATGTCTAACAGCTGATGGAGGGGAACTTGCTTGGTTTAAAGAACCCTTTCCAACCAGGGAGCAGCAAACCAGTGGTCGCAAGTTCCTTTGGTTGTATACCTTTGCAGCTCAGCTCCTACCTGAAAAACTGTCATGATGGCAGCAGGGAAAGTGTCAAAGTTGGCTGATGGCGTCCCATCAATGAAGTTAAACCTGGAGGTGGAATTGGGAAAACATAAATGGGATGGAGTACCAAGAATATAAAACCCCTGAATGCTGTGCTGTCAGCTCTCTTGTGCTTAGGAGGACCATTCCTCACTTTAAAAAAGGTCTCCTGAGCATTTGGTGCTAAAACCCAAAAGGTCTACTGGCCAGAAGAGCTCACAGAGCCCAAAGGCACTCACTGAGCAGGGGACTTCTGTCTGAGAGAAGTAGCAATGTTAGCAGAAGACTGAGGGGAAAGGCTACAATCTTCCTAGGCACCTAAGAGGGTGTCATTGCTCGGTTTTAACACCAAAAGATTCCTTTTCCCCAGACATGAAATGACCTACCTGCCTCCAAACAGCTGCATTCCCAGCAGGGCAAAGACTACAATGAAGAGGAAGAGGAGAAAGAGAAGGCTGATAATAGACTTCATGGAGCTCATCAGTGAGACCACCAAATTCCTCAGGGATGCCCAATACCTAGAATACAGATACTGCTGGAGCACTTGCAGTGATGCCAACAGGAAAGCAGGATCTGGCTGCAGCCACAGTCTGAGATGAAGGGTGACAGGCATGTACAGTCAGTACATACTTGGTTATTTTAAATATTCGCAGGAGACGAAGGGCTCGCAAGACACTGATCCCAAAAGAGGTTCCTGGTCTGAAGATAGCCCAAACCACTTCGAAGATGCTTCCCACCGTGACCTGAAAAGCAGACATAGCCATGAGTCAAAGACAGGCTCAGGACAGGCTGTTGCAGGAAATCTTCACATGCCTGAAGATGAAGCACCAACTACCCTGCCCAAGACCTGGTGCCTCAGTCTGGCACAGGGAGGCTGTCCTGGTAAAAACAGCTCCCCTAACCACTGCAAGGGCCATCCCATTCTTCTTCCCCTTAGTGCTATGCACTGCAGATGCCTTCCAAACATCTCCCCACACAGTCACAGCATCTCTGGGGACACCTACCCCACAGTCAAAGCAGTTGAAGGAAGAATGGAAGTAAAGGCGTGGCCCCATCCCGTACATCTTTAATGACATCTCCAGGAGGAAGAGACCAAGAAACAGGAACTCTGCATAGTCTGAAAGAGAAAACCCATACATGCTACCCTTGGGGCACAGAGTTGCATGCAGCATCCTGCACACACCCAGCAGCAGCCCATATAGTACACCACAGAGATGGGACAAATTGAGGGCCACACTCTTCCCCAAGCTCTCAGGGTCTGGGATGAGGGAGGCTTGTCTTTGAGAAGCTAAACTGCATATAACAGAGCATCAACCACACAAGTTAATCATTCAGGGTAGATGCACTAGTGTACAAGGGGTATGAGAAGACCAGGGACAGCCACCATGAAGCAGAGCAGCTCTTAAGCATTATAGACAGTGCTTGCGGCATCTGCAAAGATATTAACTACATTACACTGTAGAATATCAGCTACCTGGATTTAAATCATTGCACAACTGGAACATGGCCAGGGAAACAAAGCCAAACAGCCAAGAGCCAGTGAAAAGCTTCTCCAGCTATTTCATGAAAATTACGAGGCAAGAGTCTGGCTCTTCAGCTTGTCCAAAAGATGCTTCTCACCATGACCAGCTGCCATAGCCATACCACACTGTAGCATGCTGGGATCCCAGCAGGCCTGAGCATGCTAATGCAGATTTGGGCAGGCCCACTGCTTGACAGGGACAATTTCAAGGTAAGAATAATATGGCTGGGAAAGCAGCACTGTCCCTACTGCAGCAGCTCAGGGGTAAACATGGCTGCTGTGGGGTTGACCACACTGCAGTGCAGTTAGCACCACACTAGAATAGACATGGGTGTACTGCCTCCGAGACCTGATCATAGTCCACAGAGGGGTGGGGGATGCTCCAATAGGTGATTTCAAGCTTGGGATCTCCATGCCATGCTTTGCACCAAATCTTTAACCAGGGTTTCTCCCACAACCAGTCTCATCTCTGCAAATTCACACCTTTTCAGCAGTTACTAGATGTATTTCCAGCAAGCTTTCCATCATCACTGTTCATGATTTTAGGATAAACCCAGCTCAGATCTGTTCCTCTCCCTTGACAAACATGCCAGACCTAGAAGAACATATGGCCAGTACAACCCCTTCACGTTTATTCGCTGGGGTGAAACAACCATCAGTGGCCACGAAGCCAAGGGCAAAGCTGAATTAAATCACTGTACGTGGTCCTTTGTTATCAGCAGTGAACAAATGTAGTTCATGTTACTCCCCACTCAGCTCCATACAAGCGTGTCCCTGGTGAGATTCATCCCCACATGCCCGGGGTAGGAGCAGCTCTCACACCTGCACAAAGCCCAGGGACTCACAGAGGAAGTGGGTGAGCCAGGCTGGCTGGTTGTGATGGACGATGGCCACACAGGCAGTGTTGAGAGCCACCAGGCTCAAGACGATCCAGTAGAAGACCTGGGATTTCACCATGTGGCGAACAGAGATGCGCAGGAGTCGCTCCTTGTGCCGTAAGTAGGAGGCACCGTCCACTCTGGCGCCTTTGAGACCAGAATGACTCAAGGGGTTACCTAAGGGAAAAGAGAGAGGACAAGGAGTTGGGTGCTCCAGTCAAGATGAGAGGAGGAGTTCAGTGCCTCAGCCTACCCTGCCACATGAGACAAGACAGATGGCTCACAGAAACTGCTTTTATGGGACAAGAATTATCCAGGTGTTTTTTGTGTGGCACAGTGGGCAGCAGGTGATTTTCCCCCTTTGCTGCCAAATTAGCAGAGATGGCTGGTCTATGACAGTCTCCACATTATGGGTATGACTCTGGCAACTCATTAAGCTGGCAGAAGTTTTGAGGAAGCAAGCTGCAAACTTTACTGACCCAAGGTTGGATGAAGAGGTCTTCTTTGTGCCAGCCTCCGCTCGCCTACAGAGGAGATATCAACACAGTGTTCATCACTCGAGCCACGGTTCATGGCATCTGTCCGGTTCCTTTTGATGGTCGCTCGCCTGAGCACTGGGAAGGGAAGAGGAATGGGTGCTAGAGCCATAGTGGCCCAACTATGTGGCTACTGACTCTTGGTAGCCAGCTCATTGGACCAGGACGTGGTGATTAGTACTTAGCTATCTCAGGTCTGGTAGTAAGGCAGAGATACTCAGGTGACCCTAGTCCAGAGTGCTCCCTTTCATGGAACCAGACACCTCCTGGCCTCCACATTGTCTCAGAGGTTATGTCATTGATTCACACCCCCACACCGCTCTCTTGGGCTGAAGATCCCACTGGGGTATCCCCAGGCCTCCCATCACAGCTGAAGGGTTTCAATCTCCAGCTACGGGCAGGTAGAAGGAAGGGTAGTGAGATTTTTAGGAAGGACATTGCTTGTCTTACCTTCCAAGGCTGAGGTCCCAGAATTTTTGTTTTCTTCAGCCAGCATGACTTCCTCTATGCAAAACACACAGCTCAGCATCAGGAGATAAGATACCATCAGCTGAACACATCAGACTTACTGCCTTACTTACATGGGCTGTCATGCCTGGATGGGCTGTCAGCAGGAAGTCTGGAAAGCTCCACCACCCCCAGCCCTCACCCAGGTCCAGGAGCCCTGAAGTGGGCCCTAGTGAGTGCATCCCCTCCAGACTGCTTCCAGTACAGGTACAGCTGGAAAACCACAGTCACTGTTCACTGCTCTACTTTCCCATGGCCCACCACTGCAGGAAACTCCAGCAAATATCAAGAGAAAGGAAACCACGGCAGAGCAAAGCTCACAGCCATGATGCTCACAGCCTCCCCCGGAGGTGTAATACACCTCATGTTCAAAATACAACAGTTTCATGCCACAGAATATGAAGTTTCATGTTGGCGATGTCCTTGCTTGCAGCCTGGCTGGACCATCACACCATCTGGGACCTAGCTCACCCATGAAGCCAATGCCAGCTTGCGAGCACCTGTGCAACTCTGGGATTGCTCTGGAAGATGTTCAGGGATCCCTTCCCATGCCCACGACCCATAACCAGCAGCATGCAGTGCCCACCATACCGCAGGGACCTCCCGTGGCCCAGCAGCCTTTACCCGCTTTGTCTATCCAGGCCCGATAACCATTGAGCTCCCGCTCGATCTGCTGCTGGCGCCGGAGCTTCATGAAGGCTCGGCGGTTCTCCACTCTTTCACGCTCTTTGGCAAACTCCCTGGGAAAGGGCAGAAGGGGGTGGTGAGAGGAGTTGGGGTTGGGGAGATGCACAGCCAACCCCAGCCAAAGCATGGCCAGCAGATGGGTGAATGACCAGAGAGGTGGAGAGTCTTCTTTGCAGGAGGAAAGACATGGATGCATGTGAGCAAATCCCCTGCTTGGTCACTCAGCCTTGCATGCCCTTGCTGGGAGCCACTACTGTTCAGGGAGAGTGCTCCCAGTGCCACCTGCCTCCAGAACCAACTCAGCTTCTGCACGTCCCTTAGGAATAAAAACTGGGCACTGTGGGTAGGCAGCAAGGGGGTAGAAGAGGGCAGGTCCTATCCACCACTTTTACCTCCTCATTTGAATCCTTCTTCTTTCCAGCTTCTCCCTGAAGTATTTTCTCAGGACCTGAGAGTATTTTCTCTGGACTTCAGTGTCTCACACGAACTGTCCAGATGTAATGACCAGTCCAGAAAAGGACAACAGCTTGGCACAGCTCTGCAAGGAGCAGGAGTGCAGGCAGCCCTTCACAGGCTCTGTGCCAGCAAGGGCATGTCAAACAGTGATCAACACTGGCCAGAGATAATGCTGTACCCCCTGCTCACGCAGCCCCTAAGACACGTGGTGTACAGATGTGCTAGCATCCAGATGCTCATGTGCACCCCGAGGGACACACATAAACACACTCCTCAGTACCTGAGACATACGATTTCATCTATAGCTCAGTCCAGAGCTGGGCAAAGACACCCATATGTAGCTAGGGCTATATACATCTTCTCACATGTAGTTAAAACACAAGACCATGATGGCAGGCATGGTCCACTTTCTGTTTTGCACGCCCCTCTGGTCACATGTAGAAGACCCAGGCAGATTTTTCATCCACCCTGTATAAAGCAGCACACAGAGCCCTATGCATATATGCAAAGGCCATCACACACAGAGAAACTGAAATACTGAGCAGGAAACAGAGGGGTGGCAATGTAGGCAACCTCCCACCTACACGATGGGTGTAAGATGGGTCATATGTAAGATGACACAGCTGGACCTGCTTCTAGGAGATCCCACACCCCATGCTTGCACACACCATGTACCCTGGGCATCTTCACTTTCAAGTTGCACCTCTACTGATGATCACATCTGCACACAGAAAGTATCTCTCACACCAGACATCCCCCCAGGACACCCCTCCTTGCAACAACACCAGGGGATGCAATATGCTGGCTGCGGTTCACACTCCCATCCCAAGCCCCAGCAGCCACAGAAGCTCCAGGAGCACAGAGGAACACAGCCCGTGCCCTCAGCTCCCTCCTGGTTCCAGGGTGCTCTGAGGGAAGAGTGACTGCAAAGAACAAATGGCATCATTCTCTCTGCAAGACAAATGTCTCTCTCCCTGGAGACTAGCAGCAATCTCCAGCCTCAAAAAATAAAATATTCAAAAGAACTGAAAGAATTGGTCTGTCTGCTGCAGAGAGAGTTCAAGTGCATTACCCCAGCTGAGCTATTACACCCTTAATGCTGTGTGGGCTTCTGCATGTGTGTGTGTATGTGTGTTTGTGTGAAAAGCCCTGAATGTTCCCTGCATCTCTTGTTTAAGATCCCCAGACAATTCAAGCATTTTTAATTCCACCCCAGGAAGGTGAAGCTTCCTGCCGCTCTGGCATTAAGCATCAAATGACTCTCCCCCTCCATCGCTGCCTTTCAGACTGAAATGAGACTTTCTTCCTAGGGCAGGGAAGGGGGAGAGAACAAAAGACAAGGAAGAGAAAAGCAACCTAAGTGGAGGGAAGGAGGGCGGGAGGAGATGGGAGGGAAGGAAGGACCTCCCACAGCCAACAGTGAAACACACACTCAGTTCTGGATATGCCATGCAAAAAAACCCTCCTTGCATTAACTGGAGGAAAGGCAGGACCATTTTGGCTGTGCCATCACTGCTCACCAGCCTCTGTTAGCAAACTTCAAATGTTAAGATGTGAGAAGATGCCATTGGCAGCCAGAGTTAATGGGGAAGTTGCCTTTCTCCCTCCGGTTTGGTCCACTGGTCTTCCCATGTGCTGAACCTCTGCCCCATGGGCCATAACCCCATGCCAGCCAACACCTTGGCAGAACATTTGCCAGCCAGGCCCTACAGATATATTCTGCAACTGGAAGCACTTGGAAAGTTTGCCCTGATTTACACCAGCTGAGAATCTGACCCCTCTCTGCCATCTCTTGCTTGCCCATCCTCCTCTGCTGAGGCTAGTGCTCCTTTTGCTGCGTGGTCATCATCATGTGTCCACAATAAAATCCAGCCAGAAGGATCAGCTGAGCCTCAAATCGCTTCTTCCCAGAGGAGGGAGCAGAGCATCTTTGCCAGCACTCTCCTTATCAAACAGCATTTTCTCCTACCCAACCATTTGCTCATAGGGCCCTAATTTGTAAGAAGCTGGTGCCACACATCCAGGGACAAGGTCTGTGCAGCTGCGGCAGCGTCTCCGAGGGAGACACTTCCCACACGCTTGATCCCTAATGGAGCTTAATTGCTTTTGTCCATTAGAAAGAGGAAGGGGTGGCAGGGGGGGGGGGGGAGGGGGGAGTTAATCTCAACTTAATGAATTATTACATTTCAGAGTGATATGTTACCGAGCAGGGCAGCAGCGGGGGCTGGTGACATCTGAGAGTGGGTAGGCGATGCTGACAGATCAAGGATTGCTCAGAGCCAATTTGCAGCAGCGGGTAGAGATAATACTGTATGTGAGCAAGAACAGGGCCAGCAATGGTGACTGACAGCTGCTTGGGAAGGCTCCAAGTCACAGGCAGGGCAGCATCACAACGCTGAGAGAGTTAGGTCCCTGCCTCTCATTGAAGGGCTCTGTTGTCCAGTGTATTTGTGCTACATCACCAGGATGGCCAAATTTTGCCTTGCAAAGAGCCCAGGGCTGTGGTGCCCCATTAGGTCCCTGAAAAGGGGGGACAGCACTGTCTCTACCTGCAACAGCCCTGCTTGTCCACCTGGGTCTCCTGGCCCCAAAACCTGATCCTTCCACTTGAAAACATCCACCCATGACAGCTGAGCAACACTTGTACCTACCCTGTGTCATTGCAGTCCTTCTCTATCCAGCCTCATAAAGCCAAAGGCATGCAGTGTGTGATGGAGGCAAGCACCGAAGGTCACGGTGGGAGCTGGGGAGCAGCGTGCCATCTGTCCTCCTGCACACAAGGACACCATCCATCCACACGCTGTGCCCAGCCTGCCGGGGCGATTGAAGCACAGATGGTTTGCTCCACCTCTGCCTGCAAATTCTCCTCTACAGCCTTGGCATTCCCCTCACATGGCCCAAGTGTCTCTGCTCCCAGCAAGAAACCCTGGGAGACACCACACCTTCCTCCCCAGGCCCCCATACTGTCACTCACACCAGGGCAGCCATCCTTTCACCACACTGTTGCACTCTGAAGGACTAGAGAGCCTAGGTCTGGTTTTAATGGGAGAAGAGCCCATGTGGAAGCATTCAGCTTGAAAACAGCTCCGCCTTTTTTGAAGACCAAATCCAAAACAAAATACTCAAGCACAAGGAAACCAACAACCAAAAAACACTTAAGAAAAAAAAATTACATATAAATTACAGATACTGCAAAAAACTTTTCTCCTTTTTTTGGAGTTTGAGTCCAGAGGGAATATATAGGACTGGTCACAACAATACTGTAGCTTCAGTGCTTTGAAATAACAAGCCAACCAACTTCAAACCTATCAAATTGTCACTTTTTACCACCATTAAAGATGCGTCCAACAAACCAGTGACCAAGCAGGTCTTAAAACAATACAAGGCAGCAGAAAGGATGGTGTAAGAAAAGGATGCTGAGGATGAAGCAGAAGTACCATGCCGCTGTGAAAAAACATGTAATGGGATGTATAACAAGGAATACCATTTGAAGACATCAGGTAATACTGCTGCTGTCTTCAGCACTCACAAGGTCTCAGCTCATGACTCTGTTTCAGGTTTCAGCATCACAGTTTGAGGACAAAACATCTTCAACTCCAGGAGCTGAAGGTTATGGGACAGAATTGGCAACAGACGGTTTGGAAAACACAGATGAGGCAGGTGCAAACCAAGGGAATCAGATGGTATTTACCCAAGAGGTGTAAAGGAACTGAAGTAAGAGTGTTGAACTAACTGTGCAGTCTGTAACCTAGTGTTTCAACTTAAACAGACGGTAGCAAGCAAGCAGAGCAGAACTGCCACTGCAGACTGGGATTGCTGTACTGAGCCAATAGCAAAGGCTAGAGCAGGGTGTCCGAAAGGTACAAAAACCTCTGCAGAGGGAAGATGTGCTTCTTAGGCCTGCTTTGAAGAAGGCAACAAGTTTTTGAACATGGGTAAATGCTTGATTTAAGTTCACTTGAATTGCCAGCACGAGTCAGAGAAGATTCAAGGTCAGGCTGGACAGGACTGAACAGCCTCATCTAATTGAAGGTGTCCCTGCTCACGGCAAGGGGGTTGAACTAGATGACCTTTAAAGGTCCCTTCCAAGCCATTCTATGAATCCTTAACAAAGCTGGATTGTCTGGAGAAACACTAACTGGTGAAAAGAAAGAACACAAGAAAAGGAAAACAGAAACATCCTATTTCTTGTATTCCCTTTTAGCAGAGGCTTTGATCACCCCCCTGTACTACAGCAAAATATACGTATTTGCCACGTTGTGACAAAGCTGCAGCAAGAAGCAGAGCACACAGCTGATGATGCTGAAGAGAGCACATTTATAGAGCACTGGCAGACACACGAGTTGGGGAACGAAAAGCTGACAAGCTGTTGGTGACATCAAATTGTAAACCAGGAAGAAGCTGGGAGATACGAGCCCATTACATCACTGTCCCAGGGACAAATGCTGACGGTTACCTTCTACCTTAAAGCAGGCTTTCAACACGGTTTCCCACAGCCTCCTCCTTGAGGAACTGACACATTATGGTCTATGCAGTGGATGTGGAACTGTCCGACCAGCCGCACACAGAGGGCGGTGGTGTATAGCTCTTTTTCAAA